AACTTAGCGAGTCAGACTCCGGAGTGTGACTGAAAACCTGCTCTCAGAACCCTGGCTTATATGCTGGTGGAGATTCAAATGAGTCTCCACCTCTTTTTGCTAACCTTTCCCTCTTAAGTCCAATTCTATTGGTGGAAAACCTTTCTTTGTGTCCAATTCTGATTGGGCCCATTTCTAATGGTGTAATGCAGCCTGGAATTTCCCAAGTTTTCTTCCCTTAGGTCTGGTCTCGCTTTCACTCTATTTTTAAAAAACATGTGTATTTTGGGGACTTTCTATACAGTCCTCAGTGCTCTCAGTCTTATGCAAGGTGAACCTTTAGAGTGCAATCTGTGAATGTGTGTATGTATTACAGCATTTGAGTATGTGTTTCATCGTTAAACAAGACACAGTGTGTTCTTTCAGTAGGTGCATACAACATGATTACATAGTCTGGTGCTATGGTGCTATGAGTACTTTGACACATACAGCAATGTTTTGCCATATTTAAATGCAGATTAAAGAGCTTTATAATGCCTTGTACATAAAACCATGATCATATAAGTTTCTTAATCAATTTATACATCTTAACCTTACTGCTTGATTTGTTGGCACAAACTTTTACACTACACACCCTTATGTTTTGTTTAAGTATTGTTCAGGCACTGTTTAGGCACAGGTACTGTTTAAAATGTACCATTACAGCACCGATATCAGAAAAAAATAAACAATACCCAGCCCTATTTCAAACCTACAATTTATAACAGTTACAGATCCTAAAAAAAAATTAAGAACCACAGCATAAGTACACCAAAAACCAACTCATTATATCCTATTTATACCTCCATGTATGAGACATTTGTGTAAAATTTTGCCATTATTTGTATAAAAAAATTTCAGTTGTGGCCAAAGACACTTTTTGTGACCTCACAGTAACATTGACCTTTGACCACTACAATCAGTTCAACCTTGAGTCCAAGTGGACATTTGTGCCACAGCTGTAGGTGGCACAGAGGCATAACAGTCCTCCAAAATGAGGCAAAAGTTGGGGAAGAAATTTAGCTGATGTAAACAATGCAGAGCTAAAAATATTTAAAAATAAGTATATTTGTTAAACTGACTTTGTTTTATGAGGACACACATTTGTCACGTCTCAAGGAGGCATGTTAGTGAGTATCACCAAACATACCCGTGTTTTTATCAGAAAACCCCACAGGGTGCCATTAATTTGTGACAGTGCTGTCAATTATTTTGTGCTGTCCCTCAAATTGCACCATCACTTTTACCTTTAGTTGCTGATTTCATACATTTCCTAGAGTGCCAAAAAAAAAACATCAACAGAAAAGGGGCAAGACACTGCTGAGTTGTGTTTTATCAGTTCATTAACAGCTCTCATTTAAAACTCCAAAAGTCAATAAATCTTGTAGATGAGCATGATGGTGTCTAATGCAACCACAACATCCTCTTATTCACTCTCTGTGATCTCACTTCCTGTCTGATTCTCTGCTGTTCCTGATCAAGATAAGGCAAACATAATATTACCAAAATAAGTCTTGTGGCTGCATTGCATTATGGTCCGCTGCAGCCTCTGTTTTCCCTCTCATGTCCAATAATGAATAGGCTTTTCCAGAGGGATTACAAGGGTAGAATATTTGAATGAACCCATTAATCCATGTGGGCCAAAAGGAGGGATCAACGGCAGCAAACCAAGACATGACAGGCCTCGGGCAGAGAGCTCATTGGACGGGACGGGATCCAATTATCTCCGACTAAATCGGACCAGCAGACACTGGATTATCTGCTCTGGAGGAGCAGGACACCGGGACAGCTTAGCCTTCTTCCAACTCCCTCAAGTTTCTTCTGACAGCTCCTCATTCTCCTCTGCCTCTTTTCCTTTCTTCTGTCAGATCATAGATTAATAAAGGGGAGGCTAGTCTCGGTTAGAACAGTAGAACAGACAGTTTTCTTTTTCTCCTTCCCCTCAACTGTTGGTCGTTATAGGTTTAGTCACAAGCCCATTTTGCTTGCCCCCAGGCTGCTATCACCTCTGGTTACAGATAATTTCAGCTTCATTTATACTGTGGCCGACAGTGTTTCCTTTCTAATCTGCTTCTCACAACTGACACTGATCTCATTATCAGGACCATCCGTCCACTACAGAGGGATTTCAAGCTTTTGCCTGCAGGACGTTGTTTCAGGTTTCCCGTTAGGACACTGAGAGATTCCACGCCTCCTTCCCAAATGCTACTGACATGCTTAAAAGCAACAGCACTCTGGTTGCTTCTTGGTATGAATTTCCATTTCCCGGCTTCAGCTCTGTGATTTAAGGCCTTTACACATGGGGGGTGTGATGAATAAACAATACGAAAATGCGAAACACTCGCCTGCAAATAGTTTGCATCAAAACTATTTATACCAGCAGCGATGCAAATCTGTAACAGTTCCAGCACATGTTCAATTTAATGTTTAGACTGGCCATCAACGATGCAAATTTGTGACAACTACCAGGATCCTATTGACAAAGAGTAGCGTCTGGAAGTCTGTCTGAGATAAGACAGATGTTCCCAACTGGTCCAGCCACGAGACCCAGACTGCTCTTTAGTCATTAGTTCAAGGTCCACGACATTTAATATATTCAGTGTCATACTAGCATTTGGCCATGTTGTCGACCTAGCTTGCTGTCTCTGTTAAGTAGTCTGTCGCGTTTTTGCCTCTTCAAATTTATTGTTTTCAATGTAGACGAGCGGCAGGCGAGCTCAAACACCAGAGCGACACCACTGCAGCTAATAAACTGAGTTCAACATTTGGAATGCAGCAGCGCGCTCTGCATGTCATGTGACGAGGAACAACCAATCACAGCCAGCAGATATCTTTCCCTTCTTCTGTAAATATCAGTCGGACGAGTATGGAGAAGAAGTTGATCGTTTTAGTGCAGGGCTGCCAGAGCTTTACATCTGTCCCACGGACAATATTTTTAGGTCTAAAACATACAACAACACCTGGAAGAAGATCAGCTCTGCACTAAGGATTTCTGGTTATGGTCGCTTAGTAACCACAGACGCAATCTGCCTCAGTGCCCCTGAAAGCGTCAACCTTGCGTTTTCCAAGTGGTTAAAGACATGGCATGTGTACGGCCCCTTATTCACTCACTCTACAACAAGAATTGGCATTTCAAAATAAAAGCTTGTGTCTGAAATTCACTGTACTTCAAAAATAAAGTATGTTTTTTACAAACCCCACTGGCCAAAGCTACTGTATGCCATTTTACTGAGTTCCCTTTTAGCTAAATGTTCCTTGTATATGTATATATGTGTAAGGTTTTTATTGTGAAAGGTACAAATGGAAGTAGTGGATCTGTTACAGCTTTGTAAAGGTTGAAAGGGGCAGTTTGCCGTGTTGGTTTAGACTACAGAGCCTGCGTTGTTGTTTTTTAATCCCTATAAATAGGAACAATGTGACTGGTTGATGTCTTTACACATGAAGCTCAGAAAAATCTATTGCGTTTTGAAAAATATTACATCGCTTTCTTGCCGTGGCATTTTTGAGTTCTGTGTGAACTGTTTGAAAAAAACCTCTACTGACATGCAAATCAATAGCACAAAAAAAAAACTGTGTGTAAAGGCTTCTGTTGTGTTGATGTGTGTTGTACTTTTATGCGAACTCGCCAGCAAATATATTCCCCCCTTGTGGAACAGTAAGGACAACCCTCAATCTTGAATCTACAATCAGTGTGCACAGAGAAAGAAAAAGTGACGTTTCCTCACGACCACACACTGTATGTGCTACAACATGTGTTAGAAATCCAACATGTGCTTGAACGAGCGCTGCCATGATAACAAGTACATCTTGTGTCATTCACTTGAGACGACTCTCATTTTAGCACTTGTGTGAGGGTGACTCAGCAGGTTTGGGAACGAGGGCACGAGAAGACAAAGCAAAGGAGGCAATACACTGCATGAGACTTGAATCAGACTGATCGACTTGATGGCACCAGCTTTTCTCATTTTTTGCTTTTCTGTGTTTTATATAACTGTAAAGTGACTCTCTTTGGGGGTTTGGAGAGGTGGTCACACAAAATAAGCAACTTAAAAGTGTTGGCTTGGAATTCAGGAAGATTTTAACAGGTATTTTTCACCACTTTGTGACATTGTATTGACTGAAAGCGGCCCAAAATCATACTCATCTATAACAAGAGTTATATGAGTTTGGTCTCATGCATAACAGTTTAACACATGATAATCATCTGTCATATTGTATAAATGTGCCATAAAGTGACATGTATCTTATTCAGACATTATTTTGGCATCCAGAAATCAACAACTGGTATTTTGTTGCAGCAGACTACCCGTAAGAGACCAGGGAGAACTGAAGCAATCACGAGGGGGAACCTTTTTATTAAGAGGTGTAAATGAGTGTGAGCTGTGCAGTCACTTGCTGCTCTCTCACGGGGAGCAGGCGAGTCAGCAAACATGTACACAGAGAGCCTGCACCTGCTGGCAGGGGAGTGGCTATATTTAAAAACTTATTAACCTCTGGCTGATGACAGAGTTCCTGAGGGACAGTCATCAGCAGAGCACCTGAGTCGTACACAACAGGCATATGCATGATGACACCGTTAAAGCTCAGTACAGAATCATGTGGTCCAGATCTTTAACTTTTCCAACACAGAATACTTCATATCAAGTAAGCATTTTTATGGTGGACACTTTAAGGGCTGCAAATAATGTTTATTTTCATAAGTTATTTTATCTTTCAGGGCTTTAAATACTCCATGTATATGTACGGTGGTGCACCTTAAATTTTTAGCTGTGCTCATATTTCACAGCTCTACATGAACCTGTGCACGTTACTTGGCACAGAAAATATGTTGTGCAGGACTGCCAACTCTCACGCCATGATACTTTTTACACACTCTCATGCAAATGTTCATTTTCTCAAGCAGGAAAAAACAAATTTAAAACTGATAACGTGGCAAAGTGAAAAGAGAACACTGACAGCGGACAGACTAGACAGAGAAGCACCACGTAAAACCAGTCAAGCCAGGCACCGCTTGGATTTTATGCGCCTCTATTCATGCTGTTGTGGTACCAATTACTTGGAGCGACAAAAAAGGATGAAGAAAGAGTTGCAATACAGCAAAAAATAACAACACATAAAGTATTAAATAAGGATTGTTGAATATGTGACATCAACAAAGAAGTCCTAATATGATTAAAACTGTTTCCATGTTAGGTTTGCTGGAGAGTGCAATGGACTTCTGTTCAAAATGATCAACATGTTCCTATGACAATCTACGATTTGAAGTAGTTTCACTGCACATTACTGTACAAGGAGAATTCAGTGCTACATTTTAGACACATCACTGCCTATCCTGCTGGAATTATGCCCCCAAAAGCAGGTATTTGAAGCCAAAACATGATCGTTTCCTGACTATAACCAAGTGTTTTTTGTGCCTAAACGTAACCACGTTTACCACAGAGATGTTAATATGAAGACATAGTAAATGTGAGATAACTACTACTGTCTCTTTTTTGGGTTTTATTTAAATTCGTCGATGCTGTGAATTGTCTACGATGTGAAAATTTAATGTCTTATCTTGCTTTCGCGTTTTGTGTGGACCCCAGGAAGAGTTGTCGTTACTGTGTTGACAACTGATGGGGATCCTGAATAAACAAATAATTCATAAAGAATAAATAATGTTGAAATGTAAAGTTTCAACGTACGTTTTAACTGCTACAACTGCTGCTTACAAACAAAACGTATCTGTGGTTTGCAGAATATGAAAATACCAACATTTGTCTGGTTAACTTGGTTGCTTTAAGAGGTTTGCTGTAATTTTGGATGTAGTTCTGTTCAGACTGACCCTGACTATGACCATATCAAATCTTAAGTTATTTTAAACAACAGTTTTTCAGAAAATTAAAGAAAAAGTCAGCTCAAACTACAGAGCACACTAACGATGTCCCCATATTTTAACTGTCATTAAAAAGAAAATGTTGCAGTGGTCGATGTTTTATTTCTTTTGGTCAGATCCAGCCAAACTGTAGTGGAGGCGCAGAGAAAGAAGGTCATATATGCCAAATGATGCAGTAAAAAAAAGGGTGCATGTAATTTTAGAAGCTACAAACACCGGTGCATGTACGCAAAAAAAATATTTCTAACCCTGCCCATTATTCACTCTGGGGAGTCAATCTCCTTAATGTCAAATGTCAGAAATCTGAGATAAAATGTTCACTGTAATTTTCCAGAAGCTTTAAAATGCTAGTTCTGTCAAACTAACAGTTCAAAAAACAAATGAATTCAATTAACAATTAAATGAAAGCCAAGAGAAGCAGGAAATCGACACGTTTTAGAAGCTATGACCGGAAGCAAACTACTAATTTTTTATCATAATTGTTGCTGATTAATTTCTTGTCAATCGACTATTTATTTCAATGCTAAACAACTTAAAAAGTTAAGTTTTAAGAGCTTACTAACAAAGTTTACTACGTTTTTTTAATCACCACAGCGTGTGGACAGCTGTTAAGTGGAGGTGCACTACAGAAAGATAATCAGATCCCAAAGACAAATGAGTGAACGAGAGCTAGACCAGCAGAACCTGGCAGAAGCTTTAAAAGCTAAATGCTAACCCACTTACCTCTCACCTTTCTGAGAGACAAAATTTCATGTGAGCGATGGAGCAACAGAGCAAGGCACACACTGATTTAGAAAATGATTCAGTGTCAGTAGTGATGATTGTGAGGGGGAAAGACAGCAAGCACTGGGTGAACTTTGGAAGGCTCTTGAGGAGGCAGCAGGAAGGAGAGGGAAAAATCTGATTAGCCTCTTAGAAAGGGGGAAGGTACCGATGAAGAGCTGTGGACTGATTAAGCATGTTGGTACGTAGAACAGAGGTGACACAGAAGGGGAGAGCGGTAACAATCAAAAGTGACGGTGGTCAAAATCATGGGTGTAGCTCTATTAAGGATTTTAGGGCATGGGGAAGTTTAGCACAGAGGTGAATGAGTTTATGAGGATGGAGAAAGTGGTAATGAATGAGTTTGTTTGGGAGGTAAAAACTAAAGCAGACCTGCTTCCTCATCCTCCTCCTCCTCCTCCTCATCATCATCATCCTCAGAGCTGGATGACGAGGGAGCTGCGGCTGGGCCTGATGTGGTGGCAGAAACAGAGCTAGCTCCACTATTAGCAACATATCCATACTGCATGCCTGTTGGAAGGGGGGGAGAAAACTGTCAAAACTGGGTGATCGACAGCAGACAGGGCGACCGAGATCAGGCAGTAAACTTCATCCACGTGATGTGTGTATGTGTGTGTGTGTGTGTGTGTGTGTGTGTGTGTGTGTGTGTGTGTGTGTGTGTGTGTGTGTGTGCTGAGGCAATGAACTAGCTTCTTCCATTCACTTATCTCTGGGAAATCTAAATAGACCAAGATATTTTGAATTTTCTGGCAATGAGAGAGGGTGAACTTGTTTGGTAACGAGCTGTGTTGCTTAACATTTACTCTATATCCAAGTCTACATATGACACCAGTAACATTTCAGAGATAAACCGAGACGTTGGTTTAAAAAAAGAGAAAACAAAACAAAGACAAATTAAAAAAAAAAAGGTCCAACAGAGACATCTTACAACTTAATGCTGACGTTCACATGGATTCAGGCAGATGGTAGACGCCAAACCAGGCATCATTTTAGTGGACGACAGCAAGAAACTAATATTAGTTGACGCTTTTCATGTTTTCACAAGATATTTTCATATCAAATTTCTCGTTCTCCGCAAGGGTCTTAGCCTCCGCCAGGGTTGTCCCTTATCACTGATCCTGTTTGTGACCTTCATGGACAGGATCTTGAGGTGCAGCTGGTTGGAGAAAGGGGTCCAGTTTGGGAACCTCAGAACCGTGCGTCTGCTTTTTGCAGATGATGTGGTTCTGTTGGCTTCATCACGCCAGCATGCACTGGGGCGGTTTGCAGATGAGTGTTAAGCAGTCAGGAATGAGAGTCAGCACCTCCAAATCTGAGGCTACAGTTCTCTGCTGGAAACTGGTTAATTGCCCCCTCTAGGTTGGGAGAGAGTTACTGCCTCAAGCGAGGGAGTTCAAGTATCTCGGGGTGTTCTTCACGTGTGAGGGTAGAATGAAGCGTGAGATGGATCGGCGGTTTGGTGTAGCGTCTGCAGTGAAGAGGGAGCTGAACCGGAAGGTGAAGCTTTCTATTTACTGGTCCATCTACGTCCCAACCCTCACCTATGGTCATGAGCTCTGGGTAGTGACCGAAAGAATGAGGTCCTTGATACAAGTGGCCGAAATGAGTTTTCTCCATGGGGTGTCTGGGCTCAGCCTTAGAGATAGGGTAAGGAGCTCAGACATCTCGGAATAAAGCCACTGCTCCTTCGAGTTGAAAGGGGTCAGCTGAGGTGGTTCTAGGCACATCCCACTGGTGGGAGGCCTTGGGACATGCTGGAGGGATTATGCATATCATCTGGCCTGGGAACGCCTTAGGGTCCCCCAGCAGGAGCTGGAAAGCATTGCTGGGGAGAGGGATGTCTGGGGTGCTTTGCTTGGCCTGCTGCCCCCGCGACCCGGCCATGGATACGTGGATGAAAAAGGTTGGATGGAAGAAATTTTTCTCATGAAGATATCTTGTAAAAACATGAAGAACATCTTGTTGTAACATGAAACTTTTCATGTTATTGCCTGATACTGATCAGTTTTTCTTTCCCTGGCGTGGCAGTTCTATGACTCCTAGTCCTCTGCGACACACAAAGGCGATCTGGATCAATTACTTCACATCACCAGAAAAATAATGTAAAATAATAATCATTACATTATTTTATTTTATATATTTTATTCCATTCTTTGCAAACAATACACTATCACCATCACAACTTCTCATCATGCATGTTTCGTTTCTCAGTACTGCAATTTCATCTGACTGTTTTTTGTTTTGCCTGTGCCGTCCAGAAAGAGTTGTCCATCTGCCGTCTACCTGTTTCCATGTGAACTCAGCATCCCCTGACATGTAGAGACAGCTAGGTGTAAATTAGGCATCAAATATCTTGTGTGATTGGAGCACTTGCAGATGTGTTAATGCCCCTTAATACTCCCAGTCTGTGAACACCCAACGAGCTCAGCCAAATATTTTTTTTCCCACTGTCTTTCAGATTTTAATAACATTACAAAAACTGGCCGCAATTATCCAAATCATTGCATTCAGTGTTACCACAGCTTTTATCCAACTAAAAACAAGCAGGTCAATTATTTCAACAATAATTATCCTCTTGAAATACTTGTTATAACAACGTGTGGCTTTAAATACATGCCTGTAGAGAGGTGCAACCATTGTTTGTCCTGTCATTCTCTTACTAACACATTTTCAGTGGCCTGAGGCTAATATCACTGGGACAGAGGAAACCAATTAAGGCACACAGCTAAGTGGCAACTGGGAGAATAAAATCTGGAGAAATTTAGTAATTGCAGAGATAATATAGTTATTTTACTGTTTTTCTTCATATTTAATTTTTATTCTTAGTACAGTTAATTTTCCAGAGTGGGTTTGCTTGTTTCAGTTTAATTTTTCTTGTTAAAAAATACTTAGTTTTTATTAGTTTCTGATTATAGTATGAGGGGTATTTGTCAGAAGTTCATAATAGGTATGATGATACAAACACAATGCTTTGTGACGGCAACTGATTCACAGTCATGTAGACATCACAGTCTCGATAAACACATGCACCAATGCCTCCTCGTGTATTTAAGTGTCTATAAATTTGTCCAAACCTACAAAGACTAAAACTAGAGAGATGTTCTGTATATTTTTATTTTAGTTTAGTTAGTTTTGCAAGAGCAGTCTAGTTTTTATTTGTATTTTAGTTAACTAAAATGTTTTTTTTCACACCTAGTTTCAGCTATTAGTTTAGTTTTAGTTGACAATAATAACCTTGGCTTATTTGTCCTTTTACACCTCTTAAGATGTCGTTTCCTTCTTTGTCGAGAATGTCAAAGTCAATTGTTTTTGCAACCTAAATTCTGATTAAACACAGGTGCAGCTGGTGCGAGACTCCTTTGGTGTTAACCTCCCGAGCTGACAGTGAAAAAATTCACGTCTCGCAAACAAAATAAACCAGCAGCTGGCTGCTGAGTTCCAGACTGAAACCCTTACATTTGTATAAGTGCTCACACCTGCACATTTCAGAGTGTGTGCCTGGAAATGTACCCACGTAATCTACTGCACACACAAAGTGCAGCTGTGAACATGTAATCATATTCACACTCACTGTCATTGTAAATATAGAGCGGGATTTCAAACTGTGCATCTAATCTTGAGCTCAGTGAAGAAACTGCACCAGAAAAGACAAAAACCAGGCACCAGAGCACGGCAAGCCCAAGAGCTGCCACTTCTCGTATAATAACTTCAAATGTTCAAACACTGAAGTAAAGCAGGTAAGGAAATAGGTTTTGCTTCAACACAAATTCCAGCCAAAACACAAATGAAAGGACACCTTCTGAAACTAATACACTGGTGTGGTTTTTCTTCTGCAAGCAGTGAACCAAAAACAGGAAACTGAATTTTTGGTCTCAACATTTAAACCAAATTCACAAAAGTGAACATCCAGCTATTTAAATTACATTTAAAGTCTTCTTTTAAAGCACCTACAATGCAGATTATGCCAGAAGTCAACTTCCAACTGTGCGCATACAGAAACATACACAGATGAGGCCCATTGCTGACATTCCTTGGTTTGAACGTTCCAACAACCTCATTTTACAAGCGGTCGTTCATCAGTACCAGCAGCAATGAAAAGCAGTAACTATGCTGATTAATCTTTTTGTGTATGTGTTGTAAAATAAGATACAACACGCTCACTTATGATTAAACCTTTAAAACAAGGACAGCACTCCATTTTGAATTTTTAATATTGCCACACAAACATTTCAGGCAAGATGCCCTTCTTCATGGTGTATTCTGGCAATGTGTATATGTTTTGTCAGAGTGTTAAAATTTATTTAAATATAGTTATTACCTTGGTGGCGGCCCGGTGAGGAATGGACTGAAGTGGAGGGGGTTCCTGAGGGGGGGTGGTCTGCGTCTGCGCCACCACTGCTGTGTACAACCCCGCTGTAGGAGTCATAGCTCAGAGAAGCCTGATGGCTTTGGTCATAGTGTTGGTGGACTGCAGTTTGGGAGGCAACAAAAAACGGCAAAAAAACACAAATTAAAAAAGGCAGGACATTTCAATCAGGAGAATGGAGGTCTGCGTAACCACAGATCTAATTCCTGGATAAAAACAGACACTAGAAGAAATACAAACAGAAGAACTACACACAGTGTTAAAAGTTGGAAGAGCTGTCAATCAAATATCCATTAAAATTTGACTTTGCTGCTGGCAGTCTTCTCAACTCCACAACGAACTTTCTAGGACTGCTGAATGGTTGTTTTTGAAGTGAGAAGAAAGGACAGGAGCACACTGATCAATTTACAGCCTTTACTAGTGCAAACAGACTAATGTTTCAGCACTACTGTATCTTCATCAGTCAACGAGAAGTTATTTGTGACTTTACATGTGTACCAGTACGAATGATTTATCATGCTTATATCAGCTGATACAAACATGGATTTTTGTAGGAGTCTTAGCACAAACGCAGGTGCAAAACAGGTCACAAATTAGAGCAATGCCTACTCAAGCTACGAGACAAGGAGAAAAAATAAAAGACTACAACACTGTTGTCCCGTAGTTAAGCAAATGTTGGCAGCAAAGTATTTGACTGACACCAATCTTGCTTTTTAAACCTGATACTGACAAAAACAGCTTGAATGCACACCTCTGCAACACTAAGTTGATCAGCCCCTGCGTAAATCAGCCATTCACACATACCTGTGCTTCCTTGACCATTGACTGTTGGTGCCAGCTGACTGGGAGGAGCCACACTGTACCCAGGCTGCACTGCTGTTGTGGAAGCCGGCCGAGAGGTGCTGTACTGATGTAGGGGTGCACCCATCTGGGTGGGCATGCCTCCATGCGTGGAGGTGCTCTGGGAGGAACTCAGGGTGCCATACTGGCTACTTCCTGGTGCAGAAGGGTAGGAAACAATTGGATAGACAGGAGCTCCAGTGGCACCAGCTGGTGCAGGAACCAAACTGGGCTGCTGCTGTTGAGAGTGCTGTGCCGGGGGAGCGTGGTATGACTGCTGTCCATAGTAAGATCCTGGAGGGGCATATGGTGGATGCTGCTGCTGCTGCTGGAATGGCTGTTGGCTGTATTGGGCATTTGATGGTGGTGGTGCTGAAGAGGGGAGGGTGGCATATGGCTGAGACGGAGGAGCAGAGCTTAAGGGAGCACAGTATGGGGAGGGTGCTACATGATGCTGAGAGAGGTGGTGGTGCTGCTGCTGCTGATGGTTGCCCTGGTAGTAGTTAGCACTGTGGGCACTGTTCGTAATGGGTGCTTTGTTGGGAGCAGGAGTGCAGTGGGCAGGGATGGTGGGGTAGCTCTGTTGTTGAGGTGGGGCTCCATAGCAGCCTGTAGGTGGATGCATGGATTGGTATGTTTGTGCTGGACCTGAGGAGAAGGACGGAATGGTCAGGTGCATGTACAATTAGCTTGGTATAAAACATTCATTCTACCTCCACCACAGCTCACAAATAAATCAGAGGTTATCAGCAGTTGCAAACAACAGGCTTCATCAGCAGCTGATACTTGAGCAGTGAGGGTTAATACCCGGTTAGCCCCGTGCTGATTACACATCCCTCACAGCACAGCAACAGCCATCAATTAAAACTAATTTAATGTGCTGTAAATTTACTCGACTTATTATTTATTAAAGCTTCAATATAAAGCTGGCTTCGTGAAATGAAATGCGCCATCTGTCACACAACTTTTATATTGCTAACATGTATAATAGCATCGTTGAACGCTAGCTTAAAAGCTAACGTTAGCCGCTAGCTATTTCGGTAGGGTTTCAATGCTTAGGTTAACTCTTAAGCTAGCTAATGTTAGCAAGTGGCTATCTTAGCTGAAACCGTCAGTTTTTGCCGAAATTACACGTCGCTTTAATTTATATTTAATGTTATTGTTCAGTTAACACAAGAGGACAGTTGTACAAAAATAAAATATATATATAATTGCTCAACAAACTGATATCCCAGGGGGTTAGCATGCTAACGCTAGCGAGCTGGCTAATCGCATCATCCGGCCTGCGTTACCGTTCTGGTAGGGGGGCGCTGCTCCTCCGTTCGGCGTTGAGTTCTGGCTGTAGCTGACGGAGCTGTTCAGGTTTGTGAAACCCGGCGCAGACATGGCTCTCCCGTCCTCGATCCCACAGATACACGGGTGGGTTAAATACACATGAGCGGCGCTGTCCCAAAGCCTGGTGTCACCCCCGGAGAATGCGGCAGAGAGGTCGCTGCTGGTCGGTGAAGACCCGGGCAGCCTGGTGGGTCCGCTCGGGCTGAGAGCTGAAGCTTTCAGTGAGGATGCTGAGGAGCTGAGCCTGACTGCTGCCTGCGGTCCATCACTCCCTCTGCTGGAAGTTCTGTGCAAATATGTGTACTCATTTTTGTATTATTTCATTGAAAACACTGCTATAGTTATTTATGTATATTACTGTATGTCTAATCCAATTTATTTGCACAAGGGGTACTTAACTTGCTTTGCTTGGGGGCCACTTTTGCAACATGACAGGAGGCCAGGGGCCAGCTGCAGCAGCATAGTCCAGGTGTATGCAGGGGGTGCTTAGCCCAGACCTCTGCTGGGGCTCCAGAGGATCCTCCCATGGCACTATCTTTGATAAACAAGCTCTATGTTGATGCTTTTTATGAACCCTGGCACCTTCTTCAATATTAAAAGTACAAAAAGTGCATTTATTGTCCTTGTGAATTAAAAATGACAACACATTTTATGTAAAAGAAAAGTGGGAAACTGAGGGAAACAGCAATATCAAAAGGTGGAGTGGGAAATCTTAGATGACAAGCTATGGAAATCGACCAACTCATTGTCTTGGACGGAGTTTAACTGTAACCTGCCATACTGTGATGCATTCAATGGGCAATTCAATGTAAAACGCCCAAACTAGATACTCCAAGAAGTGTTGTGATGCACTGTGATACTGCCAAAATCCTAAGATATGTCGTGATACAGTTGTTCACATTAACCCCTGGTGCCCTGCTACACTTGGACCTTTCTTTTGATTACGATTATTTACTTATTTATTCATCTAGTTCTGTTTTTGTTAGTTTAAAGGATAGTGGTTGTTTATTCGTCTGCATGTTTGTTTGTTCTTCCATCTATTTATTTGTCCACATCGCTTTGTACCTGATGATTTCTTTTTTTGAATTTAAATAAAAAGAAAATTACAAAAGAATTAGAAAATGGCTGGGAGCCACCTGGCACCCTATCACTGGCCAGCTTTGGCCCATGGGCGGTAAATTGAGTGGCACTGATTTATACTATAGATGAGACAAGTCATAGTACAACCTATGCCTTTTATTTCTGCTTATATGTGTTTTGTAATTTGTACAAAGCATAGATTGCATAAGGCCTTAGGTACTGTAAAGTGTACCTTGTTTATAGTTTAAGTCTTATTTGTTTCATTTATTTCAATGTAAACCAGTGGTTCCCAACTGGTCCAGTCACAGGGTCCAGATTTCTCCTGAGTCATTAGTTCGAGGTCCACACAGTTTAATACATTCAGCGCCATACTTGCCTTTGGTCGTGTCGTTGAGCTAGTTTGCTGTCTCTGTTCTGTAGCTGACTGTAAGTCACTCACTCCACAGAAGAAAACCACACTTCAAAGTAAAAGCTCTGTGCTGGAAATCTACTGTACATAAAAATAAAGTGTGTGTGTGTGTGTTTTTTTTTTTTTTAGAAACTTGACACGATTGTGAGTAATGTGTGGTCCACTCTGAATGGACCCACGACCCAAGTGCTAGAAATTATCAGCGCTACTACAACTGCTGTCTCTTTGCTACCAGCTATTTTATATTAACAACTGAAAAGTCATGTGTGATATTTATATGAATCAAAAGTAAACTGATTCAACTGTATGTTTATTTTATAAAGACTCAGGGATTAAAATCCTTCATGCTGAGAACTGATGAAATTAAGATTTCACTCTCCACCTGATTACTGGTGTAGCAGTCTTTTGCATGGTTTCATACTGACAGGAAATTACTCATAAGCTGAGATGTGTCATACAGAGTAAGGCACAAAATAATGGCTGTAAGTTCTGCATATTTTTATCGACACTTTTTTTATGCAGCATGACGAAAATTACTTACATTTTAAACTGTGTGTGAGACCTTAACATTTAAAAACATGTAATTAACATAAATAATTGTCAAACCACTGATTGGGGGAAAAAAAGATAAATCCCTTTTGTACAAAAACACAACGCATTCCAGTTTCACAAAAGTCATGTTTTAAAACTTACAGATTCCTCATATGTATTCTGACATTTTCTCAATAAAATATGAACAGTTTTATCGTCTAATATCAAATTCACAGATCAATAAAACTCCTTACATAAAGTAATCTGACTTAATTCCCAAAATTTATATAAAAAAAAAATCACAACTTTAAAATATACCAGGCACCTTCCACTTGTTGTAGTTGCACAATCTGGTTAATGTCCCCTGCAGTCGTAACCTCTGTATCGCTACACATCCTGAGGGATTCTGGGACGTCCATCAGTGCACTCACACTCCTCTTTGTGATGCGGGGGAACAGCGGGGGACTCCTTGCTCTGAGTCTGTCCTTTGGTTTGGCAGGTGGGGCAGCAGGCGGTGTGTCCGCCCTGCCGGCAGTCAGGACAGGACAGAACCAGCTGACAGCAGAAGTTGGTGGAACAGAGTTTGTACTGGTCCCAGGGACTGCCGCAGTACCTGCAGTCTGAACGAGGACAAAGAACGACTCAAGTGTGACATAACTTTAAATACAGACAACATCTAAGTGCTACTGTGCAGTAATGTTTTATGATACTGTTAACAACTGCACACACTAACCTGAGATGATGTCACTGTTGGAGGAGATGGCGTAGCGTTCATCAAACACAAAAAGCTTCCCTCGATAGAAACCCTCTGGGAACTGCTCCAGATACTTGTGGATTCCACCTTTCAGCTGGTAAACTTCCTTACACACTTCCTGCAGGTAAACATGTAAACAAAAAAGGCACTGTAGGTTGCAAATGTTGCAAGCAACATGTCAATGTGGGGCTGAGTATCTCAACTACAGCTCAAAAGTTATGTTTTCTTCAACAGCTGGTCTGAGGACACAAGCAGACGATGGCCCAACAGCTCCCCCTGGTGGAAAACCAGCAGCCTACAAAATGTGAGTCACTGCACAACCAGCTGGTCCCATGAGGTGCTTCACATTTAGAAAGATTTATCTTACTTTGGAGCGGAGGTACGCAGAGCCGCGCTCGCAGCGGATCCCTCCTGTGCAGTACATCAAGACCTTCTTGTCTCTGAACAGTTCGAGGTTCTGGTCGACGTAGGCCGGGAAGTAGCTGAACTTGCGGATGCTCGGGGCCAGACACTGAGTAAACTGCCCCTGGAGGGAATAAAACAATCATGATTCAGAATGACAGCCAAACACTGCAGCCGAGCTTTGTCTTGTTTGATTATGAGAATGTTTTCCTGCCATTCTTACAGGGATTTTAAGCATCTATTTCAGCAGAACAACACTGAATATCATTGTAAATCAGCATCTCAAAAGGAGAATTTCTGTCACTGTTGGCACAGAAATTAAAGTTCATCTATTCTATTCTACATTCATTTTTTCAAGACAATCCATGTACACTGGGGTCCTGGGTGAGTCGGTATGGAATGACCCATAAAAGATGAAATTTAACATACATACAGCTTGTAGAATCTGTCCAAGTCAAACCATGTGAAGGAAAACAGATATAATACTTACAATCTTACTCTCATAAAAGTTGCGGCAGTCCAGGAGGATGGTGTCAGTGCACAAGTCCCCTTTAGCCAACAGAGCCTCAACTTCTTTATGAAACTCCTCCGGTTCCAAATGAACTCCTGAGAGGTGAGACAAATTTGGAACTAACATGACAACCACAAAATGTTACAAAGCAGAACTTCTTACAGAAAGTAGCAGCGTAAAAACACCCGAACAACACGTATATAAAGAATACAACAAAGTGAAAATAATAAAGTTAAAGGCATTAGTATCACTGGTAATGGTGGCATGATTTTTTGCACTATTGCAACAGTATTAATGTTTACACAAACTGTACCTGCCAGCTGGTAGGAAACAACGTCAGGATCCATTCCCATTGGGACGATTTCTTTATAGACGCCGACCCTCAGGTCTTTAAAACACGCTGCACCACCATCACTTGTCTGAACACACACAGACAGAGACAAACACACCAGTAACTACAAAGAACTATTATTAATATGATTTACCTATCCACCCATTTTCAACTGGGGGGAGGTCATACAACACCACATAAAAAAAAAACCCTAAACTATCCCTTCAAAGCTCAGCTGTGGCCAACCAGTGTGACACAAAACTGAGTTCATATTCATGCATAAACATTACGTAGTATATATCTCTTAAACAAAAGGCATATCTTTAAATTCTATCACCCGGCATGAGTTTTTCATTGGAGTCGGACCTTAAAATCCTCCTTCTCCATCTTGAAGAGAGGGTGTGAACACATAGCGTCGATGTAAATGTCAGTGGCCGTGTTGGTGCCACCAACTGTCCCATTGATGCCTTCAGTCGCCACCCTCACCTGAAAAAGATGATCATGATATATTTACAGAAGATGGGTAAATTGAATCAAATGTTTGTTCTTTTTTTGCAGTAACAGAAACATGTTTCAAGGTCTCAACATTCTTCAGTCTCTCAGCTGGAGGCAGGATAAGAGAATTTATTCACCTTGCCAGTTAAGTGGAGCTTCTCACACAAAGCTTTCTGCCAGGCACAGATGACATGTGGATCCTTCACCTGACAGTAGTGATAATAGAGCAGAACCTTGCCTGGACCCCTGAAGAGAAGAATTACAGTGAGAGAAATCAGTAACGATTTAAAATGTAGAAGGACAAGTACAGCATGACAACTAAACCCAGGCAGGAGAATCAAAATTTGACCAGTACTTCTGAAGCCGCTACTCAGAGATGTGACTAGTGTCAGGTATCCACGCAGAAATGTCCACCGGCTCGGCCTCGTGCTCGTCCGGCTGCTGTGTTTCAGGTTCCTCTTCCAGCTGGATTAACAAACACTCATACGTGGCCTGTGTGAGCTGCTGTATTTCAGTATCATGAGTCCTGGCCACGTGTTTGTGGATGGCAGAGTGTTCACTGAAAGTCTGGCTGCAGCAGCACCAAGATGAGCTTCCTTCCTCCTGACTGCTGTCCCTCTTGGACGCAACAAAGGCAGCAAATGACTGAAGAGAAAGAAAAGCAGGATATGCTTTCAATGTGGCAATGTCAAATCTGTTTTTAAAATATTAACTATACTGTCAAATGTGTTTAACAGTGGAAACAGCAGACTTTACCATAGTTCCCAACCTGTTTTGTTTGTGGCCCCTAACAAAGAGCGATGTCTACTTATTAAAGGTTACACGTCTATGAGTTCAGACCAGTTCAGTCAAAAAGTGATGTTAACCTTTAATATTCTTCATAGAAACAGGAGATAATTTAGGAGATGAGACTAGATAGTAACTTGCAGAGTAAAAATGAACAGAATTTTCAGTGACATAATTTATTTTTCTTGTTTATTATCCAGTTATCATCTTAGAATCCCTTAGATTCATCTTGTGACCCCACTGGTGAGTCCTGACTTCCAGGTTGGAAACCACAGAGCTGAGATATAAACTAACAGGCTCCAGTATAGGTCATTAGGTTTTCTAATGCAGCACGACCCATGCTGAATTTCTGACAACAAAGTAGTGATATCTGAGTTTTTTTTAATCTGACAATATATCCACAGATTTTATTATTTAAACCAAAAAATCATTGCCAATACCTTAAAGTTTACTTCTTTGTTATATTCTTTTTCTCCCTCTCTTCATTGTTTCCCTTCTTAAGGATTATTTCTTCGTTGTATTAGTATAATGGGGTGGCTGTGGCTCACAGGTAGAGTAGTCAGCTAATCTGAAGATGGGTGGTTCGATCCCGGGCTCCTCCGGCCCGCATGGCAAAGCGTCCTTGAGCAAAATACTGAACCCTAAATTGACTGCTTACTGAGCAGCAGGTGGCACTGTGTATGGTACCTGCAACAGCAGCAAGACTGCAGGGAAAACAGCATATTTCACAACTCTAACTCAGTGAATTAAAGGTTTATTTTGACCAAACCAGAGGTGGGAATTGTTGGAACATTGGACTAACTAACTGGACGACTAACAAGACTAACCAAGATAATATTGCTGAGTTTTACTGTGCTTCTTTTGAGTGTAAATAAAATGTGTTTTGCCATGAGTTAACAGGGCAGTAAAGCTAGTCTTAGTTCGGTGAAAAAGAGAAACTTTAATCCAGAAGGTGTAAAGTTGTATCAGCCCTGGGGTAGGCAACCTGTGCCTCTTTAGCCCTCTCCAGTGGCTCTCTGTGGCTTCAACAAAAAATATGACATGAAATTAAATAAGGTTTTTTTTGTTTTTTTACATTTCCACTGTTATTTATCATTGTTGGAGGCCTAAAGAGATTCTTACATTCTCCAGTTGTAACAATTCGTAGCCTGTGCACTGAATTTAAAAAAAAAAGGTTAACATTTCTTCAACTAAAATGTGCATCATACGTCTACAGCACCTTTTCCTCTAATTTTTGCCAAACCTCAACAATGGTGGCTACTCTTGAGCCTCCCGATATAGGCTTGCAATGGATTCTAAATCCATTCAAGTAAAAGTCTCAGAGGAAAATATAGAATTTAATAGTGCATGGACAGATTTGTTTGCTTTCACAACCAATTCTGCAATGTTAAACTACCAAATAATCATAAACTCTGCCCACTGCAGAGGAGCCATTTTGCGGTTAAACATATTTTTGAATGCTCATGTAGACCTATTTTTAATGTCGATAGGCTGATTTAGACTTTATACAGTGTTACATTAAGGCTCAAATATGTTTTGTGGCTCCAGGCAGAAAAATGGCTCTTTTGATAGATAAGGTTGCTGAACCCTGTATTAACCACACTAATGCCACCATATACCATATATTAAAGCATGTAAAAATACATGCCGCCAAAGCCTACTGTTGATATATCGACCCAGCTGATATATCGGTCTAGCTAGATTTTAAAATTGCTATTTGTACAATTTATCTGTATTTAAGGCATGTTTTAGAGACTTAGATGTTATTTTGACAGACACTGGTGGTTTCTCACCTTCCTCCTGCAGAGGCTGTAGCACCTTCTTTGTGAGGCAGACAGTTGTTTTTCCTGTTTCAGTCCATTACACGTCGAAGCATCAACTTCCCAGTCTATGAACTCTGAGCAAACTGTTTCATCCGCTGCCATGTTTTTACAAAGATCTTTTAAAATACTAAAGTAGTTAGGTAGGAAACAGTCTTTAGCTAAGTTAGTAGAAGCTACTTCCGCTTTGTAGTCTGAACATGTAGGAATAATAAATCGCCGGGACAGTCGATGCTGACATAATATTATCAAACATTAAATATAAAGTCTTAAACATGATAATATATTCATTTTATATATTCAGCTGCCAACAAACGTGTAGCAGGACCCAGGCAGCGAATACCGGACAAAAAAGGACGGCGCACCTTCCGGTTAACCCGGATGTGCCTCCCTTGAATCAGACCGCTATTATTTTTCTGCCCTAGCGGCCAGGCTGAATAATCTAGAAGCTTGTTTAGCCGACTTATTTTGTTTCATATTCACTTTCTCGGCTAATTAGTGACAAGATGTCCAGGAGACGACACAGCGACGGAGAGAGTGACGGTTAGTGGACGTTACATGTGAATTACAGCTAATTGAGACGTTAGGCTAACGAGCGGTGGCTAGCCAAAGTTAGCTGGTAATGTTAATCTTTTGCATGGTGCGCGCACCCTCATGCTGATTGATGATTTTTTTTTCTACGAGGCCAGGTTTTGGTCGTGTCGACGTGAACTAAAGAAATGGAAAGCATTTGGTCATATTTGGTTTCTCGGTCGCTGCTTAAATGCGGGAAGATTGAACAAACTGTTCTAGTAACGGTACCGGAGGATTTAACCGGTACGCGCTAACCTTTAGCATCTGAGCTAACTGCTGTTACCCAGTATGGTTGATTAATATGGGGGCGGCAACTGAGTGTTGTAAATAATTTAAAAAATACCTCAGTGAAAGTAGTTTTTATAAAATGCACTGATGCTATTTTTGAGTCCTCCATAAGGGTATCTGTGACGTACTGATGTAGGGCTGCTTAAAACTATTACTCCTTGATTAGCAGAAGGACAGTCCATCCCAAAACAGATGTTCTTGTTGTCATTTAATTAAACAGTCGTTACTCAAACTCAGTAAACAAATAGAGCATTAACAGAAGAGCCAAGGGTGTATCACACCACATAGAAATATTGCAAAGCTCAACAGCCTTTTGTTAGTTGAAGTAGAAAGTAGTTTCACACATTGCTCTTGATTGTAAAACTTTCTTGTATGAATTAAAAGTAATGCAAAATCATTATCACTCTAAGTAGGGATGCATGATATTGGATTTTCATGTCATATATGCCAGCATGTAACAAGTCATTTGACCCATACCAATATCAATATATCCACTTTTTTGCTACCTAATTTTGGTGATCATCAAGTCTCTTCTGTAGTGGAATTAACATCATATCATGCATGCACATATCCTGATGGTCCACCAGGGGCCTGTATCACGAAGCAGGATTAATGTCTTAGCGAGGTAACTTCAGGGTTAACCCTGGGTTTTCGGTCTCACGAAGCCGGTTCAGTTCTTATCTGGGTAGATCGCCATGGTAACTTATTCTGAACGGCTATCCTGCTCCGGAGCAGGGTAAGTTCAGGGTTGAATCACCTGATCCTATAAAAAGCACCACCCACTGGCCAATCAGCTGTTCGGAAAAAAAATGACTCCGCTGACAGAAATGCAGCCCAGTCATGACGGGAAGTTTAATTCATTTGATTGATTTTGATTTGAAAGTTTATTTTGAACATTAAAAAAGAAAAGAAAGCAACAACAACAGACAATGAAAAGATTGTTCAAAAAGGAGTGGAAAGAAGTCGAAATGTCATAAGAAAGAAACTGATAATTTGCGGACACTTAATAGCACCATTAATTAGTGCCAACATTTTGTTTTGTTGGAGGAAATGATCCCTGTTAAAGATAATGGGCCTAACTGACAGCTTTGCTTCTGGAAGTGTGGAAAGTAGCCTATCATGTCTACACCTCATGGTGTTTGAGGGATTTTCCTTCTTGTTTTTTAAAGAGGGACACTAGGTATATTTTTGCGCAGCTGTTTATTTCTAACACCATCAGTTTGGCGTTGGTATGATTTAACTGTGACGTCAGCTTTAAGCTTTATTGTAGCATATATAACGTTATGACAAAGAAGACCGATTTATCAGACGCAATGATGTTAGACGATAATTGTAATACACGCAATTCATCTGCGCAGCATTGATTTCATGGGATTCAGGGGTGTGATCAGTGTCAGATGTACAAGTACAGGTACTGTAGCTACTTGAACCAGTGATGAGTAATTTAACCTACACATCATTTTATTTGCTACCTTGTTTTGTCTTGATTTTTCCCTCTCTCCTCCTCTATTTCTTCTTTCCTCACCCGTTTTTTCTTCTCTATTATGTGATTTCATTGATGTTTTGACAGGGGAATTTCTTTGATAAGCTTTTAGTGGCTTCTAACCTCTCCGGCACTTTTCTTTTTTTAATCTTGTAAATTTTATACTGTCTGTTTTTAACATTATGTGTAAATAAACTAATCTAAACTAAAACTAAACATTATTCATCCCGTTATGCGTTGCCACGCATGTTTCCTCCTCCTGCAGCTGCCACGGTGTTGGCCTTTTCTCTAATGTTGCTTTTCTCCTCCTCATATTTTAGTAGAATTAATCTCTGATCCTCACATGAGAAATACTTTTTCCCCTCACATACGGCGCTCTGTGAGGACGCTCAGTGACGCTGCGCTTCTCTCATGATTGTGATTGGTCCGCTGCGTGCGCGTTCACGGCTCTTGATAAAGCAACCCTGGGTTGAATTACCGAGTTGATATCCAGCGTCGTGATACCGATTATCCTGATTGCCACTGTTAGGGTTAGTCAACCCAGGATAGGTCTGGGTAACCCAGGAAAGGTTGATCTCGCTTCGTGATACAGGCCCCTGCAGATGGAGACATGAAATACAAGACTTTTCAATGTCTGTAATATTCATTCATTGTACAAAATAAGAAAAGGCCTCTACTGGCCAATATCGATGATGTGCTGATACTATCATGCATCCCTACTTTTCTTACAAAAAATATTTGTCTTTTCTTGGGTCTTTGAAGAAATCAAATGCTACATTTTCCCATAATACTGTAAAGGCTTTGAAGATTCGATCAATGGTCCTGCCAGAAGTTTTGATATTAGAATGATGCCAAAATATTTGTAAAGCTATTTCTGAATATTCATAACAGAAAGAACAATTTGTCTTTGTGTCTTTTTTTTTTTAATTTCTACATGTAGTGATTGTCAGGGAAAGGATTATTAGATAAATTTCAGCACCTTCTTAACCTTCTCTGTGAGGAAGCATCCAGACCATCTTCCAACATATATCATGTACAAACCCACTTCAGCATGCTTTGACATATGGAATAGAGACAACATCAAATAGGGCACGTATGGCTTTGTTACTATTTTGGGGATGTCATGAGAAACAATTTTTCCTACAGGAGAGTCAGCTGGGTTGGAAAGAAACGTATCTCAAAAGATCAGAGTCCAGTAACTCTTAAATAATGTCCATGGGTTGCTAAAATGCATCACACACACACACACACACACACATAAGCTGTAAATGACCACAGTAAAATCATCTTGACCAAAGTGTCCCATGAATTGTTTCACTTTTCACTGTCTGTGCAGCTTCTCAAGAAGATGCACTGAAGTGGCATTGTCACCACACTGATTCTCTCTGCTATTCAGTTCAAAGAGTTGGTACCCATTTAAGCTATTTCGCAGCACACTTTCAGAAATTTGATGACTCGCAAGAGACAGATGAAAAAACAAACGGTAGTCTAACTGATGCAATAAATGCAGAGACGCTCAGATTTTTGTACCTTTTATTGGTCAAGCTCCAAAAAGACTTAATCACACATTTCCCCAAACTTAACATCATCTTCTTGTACATAATATTGAGCTAATAGGTAATCCCCATGACAATGTTTTTAAGTCTTTGTTAAGCTCTTCATGTATATGTTTGTTAAAGTGCCCCTATACAGAGAGCCTATTTATAAATGACAAAGTGTTAATTCTGTCTTAGGGTGGATTTTCCCATCATGGCTGCCCTTGAGTTATTCTCTCAGCTTTTGTTTCCCACTCTGCTCAGTCTGTGATTATTTTGTTTCCCCATTACCCTTCCAGGAGGTCAGGCACATAAAAGGAGGAGAACGTCAGAGCCAATTGAAATCGAAGACCGGCTGGAGTCACTGATATGTCGAGTGGGGGAGAAGGTAACAAGTCTAACATCCTCTGTGTTCTGGTCTGTCTCACTCTGAGCCAAATCATTGAAGCCATTGAATGTAACACACTAAATTCTCTAATTTTCTTTCCTTACAGAGTACGTCATCTCTGGAGAGCAACCTGGAGGGCCTCGCAGGCGTGTTGGAGGCCGACCTTCCAAACTACAAAAACAAAATCCTGCGCATTTTATGTGCAGTGTAAGTTCATACCAGTTCTCACCCTCTGACTGCTGAAACGAGCAGTGTTTGCGTGGTCGTTTTTCACTGAGTTGTCTTTTGTTGACAGCGCTCGCCTCCTACCTGAGAAGCTGACTGTGTACACGACTTTAGTCGGCCTCTTGAACGCCAGGAACTACAACTTTGGGGGCGAGTTTGTGGAGGCCATGATCAGACAACTCAAGGAGACACTGAAAAACAACTTGTACAATGAAGCCGTTTATTTGGTAAGCTGAGTTTTTATCATAAGCACCTAAATTGATGCTTAGACTTTTTTTAAAATTATTATTAATGATATCATGTCTTTTTCAGGTGCGTTTTCTGTCTGATTTGGTCAACTGCCATGTGATCGCTGCTCCTTCTATGGTGGCCATGTTCGAAAACTTTGTCAGTGTTACTCAGGAGGAAGATGTACCACAGGTGGGTAGAAGGTTGAGGTGACAATGCTAGGTTGTTGACCACACTTAAGTTCATCAATTCCTTTATTACTTAAATTATTAACTGTAAATTCGATCATGGCAGCAGTGAAGGATTGAGGTGAGCTGGAGGTTAAAGAGAGTAAAATTATGAATATAAACATAAAGAGCAACTACAACTTATATACTGAAATATTTTGAGGCTATTTTCATCACACATATTTTTACTCCTCCTAAATGTTCACTACAGAGTTACAAATTAACAGTTAAACTCCGTATATTTAGAGTTGGGGGTTTAGAGTTGGGTTGAAATGAGGTGTATGTGATTTAAGTGGTCTTGTTTGCGTCCTCAGGTTCGGTCAGACTGGTTTGTGTATGTGGTGCTGTCCTGTCTGCCCTGGGTCGGTAAGGAGCTTTACGAAAAGAAGGACGTTGAGATGGACCGACTTCTCAGCCAGATCGAAGGCTACCTCAAGTACGATGTCTGCCGTGTTTTCTCACTCATTATTCTTAGTTATTTGACTTTTATTTTTTGTTGTCCCATTTCAACTTATTCTTGCATCAGTCAGCTCGTCCTTAAAGTCACACTTCTGTCAATTCCAGGGGGCGAGTGAAGACGCACGTTCCCATGCTGCAGGTGTGGACAGCGGAGAAGCCCCACCCACAAGAGGAGGTGAGAGACGGATGATAGAACTACATTTCCCTTTTTATAGTTTAGAAAATAACTACTGTGGATCACATTCCCATGATGCTGTTGAAGAGCAGTTCTCAGAACATATCAGTGTCAGTGATTGTCTCTTCAAGCTCGAAGAATCGGTGGAAGAGATTTTTGCCCACATAGAATATACAGCCATCTTAGTGAGATGCTGTCTGTGTTTCTCTCTTCTAACCAACCTTATATCCTGTTAGTACCAACTAACGATTATTTTCTTTGTGGATTCATTTGCCCAGTAATTTCTAAATTAATCATAAATCATCATGCATCGTAAAATGTATTATTATTATTATAATACCGGGCTATAGGTTGCAGTTAAGATTTCTCCTCCTCTTCTCCTTCCCTCAGTACCTGGACTGCCTCTGGGCCCAGATTCAGAAGCTAAAGAAAGACCGCTGGCAGGAGCGTCACATCCTTCGTCCGTACATCGCCTTCGACAGCGTGCTGTGTGAGGCCCTGCAACACAACCTGCCCCCCTTCACCCCGCCAGGCCACATGCCCGACGCCCAGTACCCCATGCCACGGGTCGTCTTCCGCATGTTCGACTACACCGATGCCCCAGAGGTACGCTACACAATGTGTTTCTGTTTGCCCTCTGGTGTTGTAGACATTAATGGATTTTATGGACTCATTGTAACCTGGTAACCCTATGGGCCCTAGGCGTTTTTGGGGTATTTTTACTGCCTTTACTTCTAAGCTCATATCACAGTCATTATAAAGGCTACATACACATGCTATATCTTGTTTTTTTTTTTCAGGACAATCTGGGCTAACCAGATTTGCCATCATTACATGTCCTTCTATGTGCCTTTTATATCAATGAAAAAAACAAATCCGTGTGACTAAATTCTTACATTTTTACATGTATCTCACCATAGCAAGTTGGAAGTTGACATATTCTGCCATATATGAAGAGGGGAGACTCTCTGGAATCTGGCAATATAAGAACCATGATGCTGGGACATTCTGTCACTTCACAGCTGTCCAAAACATGTGGTTTGTGCCAGGCGGACATGATTGCCAGTATTTTTTCATTATTGCAAGAAATTCCATTGACTCATTCACAAGTCAAAAATGTGTTTTATCTGAAAGAAACATGCAATATTTACATCTAAGATCATAGAAAAATAGTCAACCAAGTGCAATGATGTCCTCCAAGATAATATTTGCCACTTTGTTTGCAGTAAACAAAGTTTGTCGTTGTTTTTCAGTTTCAGTTATATATTGGGGAGACATTTTGGGCACTGGGGGGGGAACACATGTCCCCCTCAATGTATATGGTGACTACGGCCCTGTCAGCATGCATAATTAGGCTGCAGTTGTCTGGGTGTGCAAAGGTGAAGTGGCTGGTCTTGTCATACAAAGTTTGATGGAGTGTCAACTGGACAATATGGAGATATTTGCATCTTGAAAGCCGGACTACAAATGTGGATAGACAGGGAGAAACACACGCAAGCCTAAGACGTGGTAAGATACGATATTCCTCACTATATGAAGTGACTGATAACAAGATCTGTATAATGGATTGTAAAGAAAGTCGTCAGGTTTTTATTTTGTAGACAATTAATCTGGATTTATAGCATGATGGGATGACATGATGTGTGTGGCATCAGTGGAAAGCTCTGCTCCTGTGCTTTCATATGATATGCGTGGCATTTCTGTGCGAGCCTGCATTCGCGAGTAATCCATCCAAGAGTAATGTGTGTGCAGAGCTGTATGAAAGCTCTGTTATACATAATTTTAGTGTAACTTTATCATTTTTTTTCGCTATGAAAACATTGGATTACCGACAATTGCTTGGCCTTGTCGGAAAGCTACAATTCCGGTGTTTCACGTGATATGTGGCTTCTATGTGCTATGACGCACGGTCGCGGAGAAAATCAACAGAGAAGAACAGGTGTGAATTTGGACGCACTATGCGTCGTTCGGGCCCATAGGGTTAACTCTGAGCTGACAGCGGAGACAGACTGGTCAACATCACTGTTATTTCGTAATTCTTTAAAAAGGATGTGAACTTAATGGGACGCCTTTGAGTCTACAAACTCTGTCCTCTTGATCCTCAGGGTCCCGTTATGCCTGGCAGCCATTCTGTGGAGAGATTTGTCATAGAAGAAAACCTGCACTGTATCATCAAGACTCACTGGAGAGAGAGGAAAACATGGTGGGTAACACGCTTCAGCACTTTTCTGTCTGTCTGAATCGGCACGTTGAACACAGACTGAAATGTCCTCTGTTTTTTACCCTTTAGCGCTGCCCAGTTGCTCAGCTATCCAGGGAAAAATAAGATCCCACTCAACTATCACATCGTGGAGGTAAACTCACTGTCTTTTGACAAACACACTGAGAAATGAGAGAAGAATTAAAGGCTGATTTAAAATATTGATTTTGTTTTTTCCAGGTGATCTTTGGAGAACTCTTCCAGCTGCCCTGTCCGCCTCACATCGACGTCATGTACACCACACTGCTCATCGAACTCTGCAAACTGCAGCCGGGATCGTTGCCACAAGTCGTATCCTTGATTGTTTTTGTCTCTGCAGTTTAAATTAATGTCGCCTTCACTTTAAAGAGACTTTTCCTTAACGCTGCCTGTTAGTTGGCCCAAGCCACAGAGATGCTGTACATGAGACTGGACACCATGAACACCACCTGCATAGACAGGTAATCAAACCGCTCATGACAAGAGAAAAACACAACTGTCATACTTCCTGTCTGATTTAGAACTCATCCATTTCTTTTTTTATTTCCAGACTAATCAACTGGTTTTCTCATCATTTGAGCAACTTCCAGTTTAGATGGAGCTGGGATGACTGGTGAGTGATTCTGTGACGGACACAGTGAGCTTTTCACAGCAGATATTTATTGTTTTAAATTAGAAACGGACGTCACAGGTGACAGTTTTGTTCTCTCTGAAGGTCTGACTGCTTGACCGTGGATCTAGAGAAGCCCAAGCCAAAGTTTGTCAAAGAGGTTCTGGAGAAGTGCATGAGGTATGAACGCATTAGTCACATTTGTTTTAGTAAGTTTAAATGCCTTAAATGTAAAATGTTCTTCCTTTTCACTAAGCTGAAGTTAATTTACTCATCTTTATCGTCTGTTCTCATCTCGGCAGACTCTCATACCATCAGCGGATAGTGGACATCGTCCCTGCGACCTTCTCAGCGCTGATCCCAGCCGAACCCATCTTTTTGTACAAATACGAAGATGAGAGCGCCTGTAAGAACACTTATGTTTTTTTGTTGACTTTTAAATCTGTCGGCAAAGTCACGGCACGATTTTATGACTCCACAATCACCTGATTTGACGTAGTGACTGTCAGAACAAGCAAAAATGTTGTGTAGTGTGAACCAATGAGACATTATAATGAGAAACTTCCTCACAATAGTCAGTATCTCAAAACAATGACTTGGTATCTTGGTATCTCAAAGTAATCAGAAACTTTGTCTTCTTTAATGACTCAGCATATTGAGAAACTCCCAAAATAATGACTTAATATTTAAAAAATAATGAGAAACGGTGTCAAAATAATGAGTTGGTAGATACTAACTTATTTTTCATTACATTGACTTACAGAATCTTTATATATATATTATTCATTACAAGGGGAAGTTCTCATCATATTTTTTCTTTTCCTGGCAGAATGAGCTTCAGTAATAATCTGCTGAACCCTCAACTGAACTGAATTTTCATGTCGCGAGCACAGTTTGACTGAAATATTTATTTATGTTCCTCTGTCAGCCTCGACCGGTTCCACAGATCTATTTTTAACTGTCAAACAAATTCAGACATGAATCCCTAACAGCATGTCTCTCTTGTCTCACAGCTTCGTTACCGGGTTATGCAGCAACCATCATTGTCGGAAACGCCATCAAGAACCGAGCGTCCAACGAAGAGATCTTGGCCATCCTCAAAGAAGTGCCCAACCCCAACCAAGAAGATGATGATGGTGAGTTTCCTTCTTATTTGAGGCCGTTTTTATGTTTTCTTCTGCACTCTGCAGCAGTTCTTCTTTGGAGGACAAAAAGTCTTTACATTCCTTTCTCTTCTTCCAGACGAGGGCGAGAGCTTCAACCCTCTGAAGATCGACGTGTTCCTGCAGACGCTGCTCCACCTGGCAGCCAAATCCTTCAGCCACTCCTTCAGTGCTCTTGGCAAGTAAGTTCATCCGCCATGTGACTAAACACGTTTTACTTTCTCTTTTTATCCGTTTTCAAATTTGTCACCCCCACACAACAAACTGAAAGACACTAAATAAAATACAGTTAAAAAATAGAATGAAAACTGCTGAAAATATCTAAATAAACCCTGATAAAAAAAAAGTGATTTTACCGAGTGTTTTTCACAACCTGTGATGCTGGGGTGCCCCATGTACAAAGGCTGTGTCCTTGCCGCAGCGGCCGCAGGTTCAGTTCCACCTCACGGCTCTTTGCTGCATGTCAGTCGCACTTTCTCTCCCTGTTTCATCCTATATCTGTCCTATCAAGTAAAGGCCAAAAAGACCCCCAAAAAATATCTTAAAAAACACCCTGCATACCCAAAGATGTTTTAAGTTCCCCAACAGGATTCAGCAGTTCACATCAACTGTATGAAAGAAGTGGACGTAGCCACCGTGTCGTCACACATTGGTTTGTGGACTCCCATTTTAAAGGGTTCGAGTTTGACATTTTGGCCATGGCTATCCTGGTTTTCGGCGCCAGAAGTGACCATATTTGGATGAGAGGGTGGAGCTGGGGAGGAAACGCATTGCTACACCTCGAGCGTGATAGACAGGTTATTGTGGTAGCTACTTGTCGTAGCCACGTCCTAAAGCACTCTATCCTTTATTGTCTATTTTACTCTAAATGGGACTATAATTTACAAAGTGAACATCATGCTGTACTGAAGAAGACGTGAAACTAATGATTGAGACCATGAACTTTACTGAGGAAAAAAATTAAGTGAGAAGTCGGGTCATTTTCTCAGAAACTTATACAGTCAAACGTCTTTTTGCAACCAGTGGAGTCACCCCCTGCTGGCCATTAGAAAGAATGCAGGTTTCAGACACTTCCACATCAGCTTTACTTTTCTGACCAGGAGGCTGCTTCCTTTTCATTTATACAGTCTGTGGCAGTGGTTCCCAGCTGGTCCAGGCACGGGGTCCAGATTTCTCCTTAGTCGTTAGTGCAAGGTCCACACAGTTTGATACATTCAGTGTCATACTTGAGTTTGGTCATGACACATTCGCTTGTCATCTGCGGTCCATTCAGAATGGACCCACGATCCACCAGTTGGGAATCACTGGTCTATGGTATAACCACCATTAAGTTTTGTATTAAATGAATCTGTCCTGAGGCCTCACCTGCATCTGATTGCTCCAGGTTCCATGAAATCTTGAAGGCCCTGACAGACACCGACGAGGGGAAACTTCACATCCTCAAGGTGGTTTATGAAGTGTGGAGGAATCACCCGCAGGTACAAACAATACAGAATAAACAAATTGAACAGGAAGACGTTTAACCCTAAAAAAAGCTGACAGTTTGTAGCGTGTGTTTTTGCTGCGTTACAGATGATCGTAGTGTTGGTGGACAAAATGATTCGGACGCAGATCGTGGACTGTGCTGCTGTGGCCAACTGGCTCTTCTCTCAGGACATGGCTCATGAGTTCACCAGGTGGGACACATTAAACACAGGGAGGCGCTCCACATGAGATGATGTTTCTCCCAGTGTGAAGGTTTTATCATGTTCATTCTGTCCACTCAGTCAGGACGTAAAAACTGAGCCTCTGTTGTCTACATTATTTATCTTATCATCATGCAGACTTTTCGTTTGGGAGATTCTGCACTCGACCATCCGAAAGATGAACAAACACGTGCAGAAGATCCAGCAGGAGCTGGAGGAGGCCAAGGACAAGCTGGAGAAACAGCAGCATAAGAGGGTAACTTAATAACTTTATCCGTCACGTCTTATAACAATAATAGATGTGAGTGTTAAATGACCTGAATTGGTCAAAGTAGGAGAGGTTAATGTTTGTGTGTGTTCACCAACAGAGGGACAGTGGGGACGACGAGGACATGGACAAGAACAGCGAGGATGAGGAGGGTCAGTTAGAGGAGCAGATCGAGAGGCTACAGGAGAAGGTGGAGTCGGCTCAGAGCGAACAGAAGAACCTCTTCCTCGTCATCTTCCAGGTACTGAAGGCTGTCGGGGAACTCCAAACTTAGACACAAGGATTTTACAAGTTTTCAGCTCAGCTTCAAAGCAGTCGAGCAAATGTTGATGTTACCAAAGTGCTTTTGAACAAGGTGACGTCAGTTCATCCAGTGAATGCTGTGGTCTTTCTGATTAGATCCCATGTGTGAATATTTGGAACAGCAACAAAGACCAGACAGAAGCGCACATGATTTTGCATTTTATTTTTTCAGATTTTCTAGAATTTCAATAGAAATTAGATCTTTGAAGGGAGATGCACGAACCCTGCCTTACAAACAATTCTGTGGCGCCAGGTAGTCAGGTTGTAAAATACTGCCTTTGCTTCAGTCACCTGGAAGAACGCATGGCTCAGGAGTTTGGGTCCAGAGCTGCAAAAATCAAATCATCTTCCTTTTATACAAATGAGCATTTTCAAGCATTTGTTTTGACTTAAGTCTTCAGGTCCTTCCAGCTGCTGCCTGATGAAATCCATAACGTCCTCGAGGTCAGCATAATATTTGTTTGAGCCTGTGAGTTTGTAGCAGCTGAATTAAGTGTCTTTACTGAAGGAGTGACTTAAGTATGTCACTGTAGTTCATTCCTAGATTAAAATAAATTCCAACGTGTCGATGTTTGCAAATGGCTAAAGCTACTGATAATACACCTGCCAACAAGAATGGTTTAGGAAACGGAGATGACGAACAATTTTCTTGTGGTTATGCAAAATTACTTATACAACAGTTAATTCCGGCCCTGCAATCTGATTGGTCGAGAGACAGTAAAACCGTGACGATATTGGAGTACAACATCATGGTTATTTCACTGTGTATGTATCACTCCGCCTCACAGCTGATTGCAATCAACAATCAAATCAAAACTGACGGTTAGTGTCAGTTAGGTCAGCAGTTGCGTTGTAGGCTAATTAATTCATCCACTGTCAAACAGCCAAAAATATGGATTTATTTCCTAAAATAAGTTTCGAATTGAACTATGAATGGTCATCAGAGGAAGATGAGGGAGAGGAGAAGCTGAATCCATCTGAGCACACATCCAGGTTTGCCATTAGTCTGAGTGGGCGGAAGTTCGCTGCATAGATCAGCCTCTCATTGGGCGGAACGAGCCACCCGCTGAAGTCCCGCCCTACCACCTCCGGTTGTGTAGCAGTTTTCAACCGTTTTCAACACGTCCTTTACCAACTTTTGCTGTGTTTGATCTTGCGGGGATGTAGACATTTTTCTGCCATGGTTCGCGTCCTGTAGGCGATATTTTTGTGGGCGTGTTACACCAAAACCTGTTTCCCCCCGGCAATATTTTTGCAAGCGCACCGTTGCTGTGGCACCGCCCAGATCGATTGTGATTGGTTGAAAGAAATACAAGCAGCCGGGGCATTTTTTTCTCCAATCTCAAAGTGAGAGTCAGCGCAGCCAGACCTTTCTTTTCTTGAGAAAGGCCTGGTGAGCGAGACTAGTGTTTCATCAGCGGAGCTCAATGACTTGGAGAAAAGCAACATACTGTCAGATCAGAAGGCAGAGTCGGCTGTGCCTGTGAAGCGACAGTCCACCATGCAGTCACCAGAGACTTATTTCACCGGCTGCACAATTAATGGAAACGTGCAGATAAATGTGTATAAAGAGTAAGTGCCTGGCGCACCATGTCTGCGTTACATAGCAACGGTGACGGCGGAGTCCTGAGGGAACTATTTTTGTTGGCGGAAGACAAATAAAAATGCTTAAATTATCTATTTTGTCCTCAACATTTCTTAATCAGCCTTGCTTATTTAACTGTTGAACTGTTGTATAAAAGCAATATCACACTCGAGCTCATGATGTTATACTCTTACATCATCACAGCTGTGATTCGGTCATAGGCACGAGCACGAGGCCCTCTTGTGTAATATTGCTTAATTAATTCCCCCCAATGAAAGACTTCATGAGACTGTTTTTTTACACATCGTGCTTTTTACACGTGGCCACAGAAAAGGATGTTGTTTCTGTGCATTATTTAATTCATGGCCACGCATTTCTTTATCCCACCAGGTGGACTCCCTAATATTCTGACTACAGAGGAGAGGAAAATTATCTGAGTCTAACTTTATAATTTAGGCTCATAAGACGGAAACGTTAATGTCGCGTTCACATCAAACACAATCTGAATATTTGCGTTGCGTTATTCACGCAAGTTTGAACGTTAGAATATTTTGTGTTGACTCAAGTCGTACCCATTTAAAAAAAAATCGCTGAATGGATGAACTCCCACTGGTATGTCCTCCCTGTCATACGTCACCGGAGGATCTCAAGGCTGACTCTCGCAGCGGGAATTGGTCGCTTAATGTTCAGATTTTTTAACTCACAAATAAGCGTATTACTTGAAATTGCGCTTTCTCTTTATTTGTGCCGCTTAATTCATGTGTTCCTTGAATGCTGGAGGGAATTCACATCTAATCGTGTCTATACATTGACCTAACTTGAAATTCACTTGTGCAAATCGTTGTATTTATGTTCTTGACATGTATTTGTGTTTTTCTGTCCGGCAGCGTTTCATCATGTTGTTGACGGAGCATCTGGTTCGCTGTGAGACGGGCAGCGTGGACATCAGCACGCCCTGGTACAAGAACTGTATCGAGCGGCTGCAGCAGATCTTTCTCATGGTACAACATTAACACACTCTCACACACACTCCAGTCCGCAGTAACACAGTGTGTGTATTCTCTCAATGATGTAATGTGTCTCCTCCTTGTGCAGCACCATGTGACCATCCAGCAGTACATGGGAACCCTGGAGAACCTGCTGTTCACCGCAGAGCTCGACCACCACATCCTGGCCGTGTACCAGCAGTTCTGCGCCCTCCAGCTCTGAGACACACACACCAACACACACACGCGCACACACACACACACACACCAACACACACGTCTAAGGATGAATTGTGGACTTGTGTTCACACCGTACCTACACATTAGAAACTACCAGCTCTTGCATCAAGAATCTCCTCATCACAGTTTCTTTGTTTTTTTAAAAATTGAGTTTTGTGTTGTTTGGTGCCATTCGACTCGTTAGTTTGTGCGACCACGACTGAGGGCGTGTTTTGAAGTAGGAAGTCTGATAAATCCTCCGTCATTAATTTGCTGTAGTGTTTCCTTTTTTTGTTTTGTTTTTTTTGCTCGGGTTTCAGTTTTTCTTTTTTACATCCTGCTTGTATTCTTATGAAAGGGTCTTTTTAAATCTGTCTAAACTGTCTGGGGAGAGCTGCAGGAACGATCACAGGAAAGGAGGAGGAGGAAGAGGAGGAGGCTTCAGGTTGGCTCGGATTGATTATGAATCTAGAGAGCGCTCTACTTTTTTATATTTGTTTTATGTGGAATTGGGAAATAATTAAAACTCTTTATCCGTCTTTATCCGCCTGCTCGTCTGTGTCACTTTCTTCAACTCAGACATCTTCCTCTCTGATGAGTACTCAGAGGAACAGAGACAATAAGAGAGACACAAGGGTGGTACTTTGCTGTGCAGTAGTTCATGGATAAACATGAAGTCACATCACTCATGAACTGAAGTCATTAAAGCATTAAAGGTCCAGTGTTTAGGATGTAACGGCATCTAGCTGTGAGGTTGCAGAACTGTGTGCCAAGCGTGTAGGAGAACTACAGAGGTCCACCCAAAAACACAAATGGCCCTATCAGTGTTTGAGCTGTCTATTCTCAGCTACCATGATGGACTCTGTAAGAGCGGACGTGTTCTGTATGTAGATATAAACGTCTCATTCTTAAGCCAAGTTGACAGTGTAAATGTTGTTTTAAAGAACGTCCCATGACAAGAGGTAACATTTTATTGACATTTTAAGGCATTAAAACAGAAAACAGAGAAACTCATTATTGCAGTCTTGGCCTTTACGAACAGTGCAGTGAGAGGAAACAAGTGCATGCGTTCACGTTTCGTTCACATGATTACATCTGAACACACAGGAGGTGAAGTCACACACGTCCTCCTGTTATCTAAATCTTTAACACATTACCTCTTTGGAAAATACAAAACATCGTATTATTGGTCTTTACTAGTGGAAGACGTTACAAAAAGACATTCAGTACAAAGTTAAACATGTCATCTGTCAGAATCGGGGTTCAATTTGCTCCCTTAATTGCACAAAACCCAAAACCGTCTAGAAAACTAAAACTGTTTTACGTCTGCAGTCCTGAAGATGGAAGCTTTTTTTATTTTAAACACAATTTAAAGTGGTTAGTAAGTGGTTAAAAGCTGTTTTTTGGGGGTATCACAACACTGTGACAGACACTTCAGTTAACACAGTGATATCCTGTTTGGTTTATCCGCTCAGACACATTTGTTCAACAGGAAACAGTCTGGTTTCACTTTACTCAGGTCTGAAATCCATACATTTAGTTTTATAAATAACCTGCAGAAAACTCGTTCGTTGAGTTATTCTGAGCAGCTCTGTGCTGAGTCTGACGGCAGAAAATGTTTAGGAAGAGTCCGCAGTTTGTCTCTGCACAGTGGCAGAAAATAGACGAGAACACTGAGTTGCAACAAAACAGAAGTCTGTGTGATGAGGAAACATCAGGGATGAACCCTCAGTGACAGTTTGTGAGAATATACAGGTACAAATTTTTCCTGTAACAGAAACTGTGCCTTGTTCCAGAGCAGGCTCAGTCATGAGCTGCATCTTGTTTTGGGTTTGTCTTTGCTTTCTCATTCAGAGCGAGACTTAGTTAAAAATGATCTCGTCCAGCTGATGAAGGAATCATGTCTCCCAGGAAGTAGATCACTGCCACTTGTTATAGCCCTGTCCTAAAGTAAATTATTTTGGTGTATGATTTATGCTCCTTTTCTGGCTTCTACATTCAACAGCTACAGATATTAAAACAAAATTATTCAGTTAACTGAGTGTAGCTGCTAGAAAGGAAAGAAATGACTTCATGTAAACAGAATATTCTGTTTTGATATTCCGAGTTAGACCTTTCTGCGAATTCAACATGTTACGATTAAGAAACACCAGATATGTCAGTATTATTCAGGTTTTAGGAGCACGATTAGACGTGTGCGGCACATATGTTTCAGTTAAAGTTTTTACACGCCGCCTCTTTGCTGGGCCGTGGTAGAGATGCATACCTAAAAGAAAATGCCACATTTAAGCTCACAAGGAAAAACACACAGACTTTTAAACATCACGAAGACTTGGATATTGACAGATTTTTGGATGTGCTGAAATATGGCATCACCGACCTTTTCAAGAAGGTGGCTGCAGGAATGACAGAGTGAGACTGTGTTCACATGGTCCAACATGTCCGCCACCACAGAAACATTTCCATTACATATCTTTGACATGATATATGGCTTGTTGGATCAGTGGCTCCCAACTGGTGGGTTGTGGTCCATTCTGGATGGACCGCAAGTGACTCGGGAATGGGTTAAGTTTGTGAAAAACACACTTTATTTTGAAGTCCAGTGACTTAATGGCACTGTACTTTTATTCTGGAGTGCTGTTTCCTTGTCACCTAGTGAGTGACTAACAGACAGCTACTAACTAACGCAAGACTGAGGAGAAATCTGGATCCTGTGGCTGGACCAGTTGGGAACCAGTGTGTTGCTGAATATCAGTGGGATATTCACTCAAATTAGCCATGTAAACAGCTACGTAGGAATGTTGTCTTTTACAGAATAAGGGCAAAAAAACAGAATATTTTTTGTATGTTAGCACAGTCATTTTTGAAATCTTTATATCAGAAAAATATCACCTCCTCCACGAGGCTACAGGATGTTACACTTGGGGAAAATTGGGAGACGTGGAATGTGTATTTCCCTGAAACACACTGCTTTTGTTTGCCTTCTTATTATCTTTTAATTACTAAGTTCATATGAAATTAAAAAACACCCCATGTTCTACGCTGTTAACTGATCCCATGTAAAGGTGTTGATGTTTTAGCTCATCTCAACACCCAGTGAGAATCCAAAAATCAGTTAAATACACATGATCAGTGGATTTCTTTGACTAAGTGGCTATAAAACAATCATTTAAACTTAATTTCCTTCCTACAAAGTACAAAATACTTTTTTGTGTAAAAGTATAAAATGTATTTTTTCATTTAAGTGACGGAATGATGAAGAATATCTGCTGAGTTTACTGCTGCAGATATGCTGTTTTAATGTTCAGAGGATTTAATCCACCTGTAAGTATCAACAGAATCTGTTTTTGTAACTCAGCGTACAAAGACAAGTTTGGCCCCAGTGTCGTACCAAAGAATCAACAAGAACATGTTGATTAAAAACAAAAAAAACTTTCACCTCTGAATCTGAGGCGACAAAACCAAAACCAAACTACTTTCCTTCTGTGTTTTGCACCCAACAAACTGCAGGAGGCATCACTCCCATAATTCCCTCTGTCTCTCCCTCGTCATGAGTCTCTCAGCAGGTTCACGTCTCCACACTCGGAGCGTGCTCCACATGGTTGGTCGTCCAGACGTCGCGCTGTTTGTTCCCGTAGGTGGCCTGTTCCTCGGCCTCCAGTCGTCTGTAGTGTGTGTGGAAGAAGATGAGGAAGCAGCAGGTGAAGAAACTGCACAGTCCCGCCATCACCAGCATCGGCACTGAGGGCGACAAACGCTCAGGTTAAAGAACAACTCCAGCTCACAGGAACTAAACAGAACAAGGTGTTTGAGAGTGAGGTTAGGGTCCAGGAGAACATGTGGTTCCTGCAGGACGACAGAGCAGCATATAAACAGAGGAACTCCTTTAGTGGGTATTGACAGGAACTGGCGAGGGGCTCTGCCGTCAGTCACCCACATCAGTCACTTCCTGGCCAGTGAATGAGCTTGGAGGCTGGATTTTAATTAAATGCACGAGCAGAATTCAAACTACTCCTCTGTGTGTGTGACACTGTTGATGCAGAAGTGTTTTTAAATAGTGAGGCTTTAGTGAAAATGCATGTGTTTGTACAGCACTGATCATATGACGACAGGTAAATGAGACTTAGATTGTTCTGCACAAGTTGTGTGAGACTTTTTAAAAGGATGTTTTGGGTTAGGGTTATTATGGTTATTAAAAAGGATAAATCTGGTATTTTTCAACCTGGGCCCTATTTCCCCATGTGTATGTGTGCGTATGATTCATAGGTACAACTCGTTTTAAAGTTGGTTCAGTATTGAGGGAGGCGGATGTAGCCGGGAGCCGCGAGGTAAATATGGGGACAAATGCGTCCCGTATAAGTTTGTGCATTAAAAGTGCTTTTTTTCGCCACTGACCGATTCAGAACGCCAGTGCTATCTCTGTAAATAGCATACTAAGTGTTTCCCTTACCCTTCACTTCCTCTGGGCTGTGACGTCATCTCGTGAGAGCTTTGCTTGTTGCCGGAAGAAAACAGAGGAGACATGCTGAGCACCGCACAGAGTGGCGCTGGTTGTCCTGGAGTACAGCTGAGAGTTTTATTATGATGGCCGCCCGTACTTATTTGAGCCCGAGTATACAGACGAGGAGCTCCTACAAATTGAAGAGCAGACAAGATTAGAGGGAGAGGGCCAACGAGCAGACGAGGGTGAAGCAGCGGCTGCACGAATGAGAATCTCTGAGGACTGGTGGTGCTCCTGTGGTTGCTGTGACTCCATGCCCACAGAGGAAGAACGTCTGTGTTGCAACGAGTGGGACCTGTTGCCCAATATTCATGGTCTCGATGTGTCCTGGGATGATACAGAAACTACCAAACGCTGTGTAACTACGTTCGAGGATTTCCCCTCTCTGATCAACAGGGCAGTGCTGGATACCTTTTTTCATGTGCTCAAAATAAATTGGAGGACCAAATGGGACCAAATGGTCAACTATCCATCAAGTAAGTATAACTAATATGTCTTTATGCATGTAATACTGATACCTAGAATTGTTGTTTTCTTCCGGCAACAAGCAAAGCTCTCGCGAGATGACGTCACACAGCCCAGAGGAAGTGAAGGGTAAGGGAAACGTTTAGTATGCTATCTACAAAGATAGCACTGGCGATTTGAACCGTTCAATGGCGAAAAAAAGCACTTTTAATGCACAGACTTATACAGGACGCATTTGCCCCCATATCTACCTTGTGGCTCCCTCAATACTGAACCAACTTTAGAACGAGTAGTACCCATGAATCATACGCACACATACACATGGGGAAATAGGGCCCAGGTTGAAAAATACCGAAGTTATCCTTTAACCTTTTGAAACCTGAGCAAATTGGCTTTCTTTCTTTTAAAAACACTGAAACAAGGCAGTGAGCAACGAAAGAAGAAATTAATCAAAAACATTTGCAAGAAATTAGTAAAAAGAGAAAATAAAAACAAGAGGATTAGTAAAAAAAAATAAAACAAATAAAGAAAATGACCTGATAAGAGTGCTTAAAAAATATAAAATTCTGTTACATAAATTTAAAATGGAATTATAATAATAATCATAAACAAAGTTTTCCCTAGGTTTTTTTTTTTTTTTTTAATCATTTTCTAAACCTTCTTTTTTTCTTTGCAATTTGTGGGACACTTCTTACCAAGCTGCTCATCACCTTCTTTCCCATGTTTCTGAAATAAATCGCACCAATTTGCTCAGAGTTCAAAGGTTTAAATACTTGTGAAAGGCATCTGAACGCAGCACAAGAGGAGTGATGTTGATCCAGGTTTCAAAGGGTTAATTAAATACTGTCAGTGTTTCTACTTCACTACATCTTGTAGATTTTTTTAAACCACATTTATATACCTTTGCATTGAATGTGTAAGGATGAAAAAGAGGTTAAAAAATCAACCAAAAGCTTAGTGGCAACATCAGAGTTACAGTTACTGAGAGTCAAAAGACAGGCGACATTCAGATATGAAAAACTGCTCAACAATCAAATCACTACTAAGTAAATGTACACAAGTAGAGTTTCTGTTTTCTGCATTTAGAGGCACTAACTACAAAGTTTCACCTCAAAATATTTGGTATTTTACTGACTCAAAACTCTCTGGATACTAAACTGTACACGTACTGTACGCTCCGTACAACGCCTTTGTGACACGCTCACAGTGGTGTAGCGTCATGTGACCTACCCTTCCAGCTCAGGATGGCGTCCCCGCAGGTTGACAGAGGAGCTTCTGTGAGCCGGGTGGTTAAAAGCTGGAGGATGACGATGTAGAGAACAGACTGAACCTGTCTGAGAAGATTACAAACAAACAGTCGTCATTAATACGGAGTTCACATAAAGCACAAAGATGACGTCCAGAAACTGATCAGTGAGTTTCTGCAATATAATTTGAGACTAAATCTGAGGCTGAAACCTTTAACCCTGCGGTTAATGATTTCTTTGAGCAGTAGCAGAAATCTGTGGGAAACATCTGGGTGTGTTTAAACTCTTCATTAACTTTATCTTAATAACAATCCATTATCCTGTATACAGTGTGTTGTGCTCAGTCAGTAGTACCCTGATACGAAGATGAGTCCGGCTGATGTGGCCTCTCCCACAGGATACGAACACTCCACAGACAGCTCCATGGACACCGGGTAGATGGAGAACCCAAAGAAGCCAAACAAGGAGCAGACGGCGGCCACAGCAGCTTTCTGATTCGGTATCAGAGACACCTGAGAGGACGAGAGCAGCTCTGGTTAGCACAATGTCAACAGGGCAGAAAGAACATACATAAACGTTGCATTCATTTTTCCCGATATGTTTTGTTAAGAGCGGTGTCTCTGTGAACCTTTTCTAACTTTCACATAAATGTATAAATATACATCAGAGATACCACAGCATGACATCACCGCTTTGAATTTATAAAAAGCAACTCTTGAGTCTAACAAAAATTCATGTCTGCATTTTCAGGCTGAGTGTCGCTACACAATATATATCTTAGTATCTTCGAAGAAATGATCTACATGTTTTCAGCTGCAGGTCAAAGCCACATCTGAAATGTCAGAATCACTTTTATTAAAACAGACTGTGATCAAAATAAAATGCATCCCCTGTTTGAAAATAAACAGCTGCACAACATGTTAATGAAAAATTATATAAAATAAATATCAGGGCTGTACGTTAACTTTTTGCACACAGCACTGGAGATACAGAAGTTTAAAGGTTTACAGCACAGGACACTGAACTATAAAAGGTTTGGAACAATTAAAAATCTTTGTGGCGGAGTTAAAAATTTGTTTTCCATCTGTTGGTCTTTCAAATTAATCTAGTGCTGGAAAATGATTTAAATCTTTTTATTTATTTAGGCTGTTAATCTAATTTCTGCACAGAGCATCAACAGAGAGGCCGAGGGAGGGGGGGAAGGAAGGAGACGCTTTGTCCTTGTTATATACGTCTTGTATAAGAAACGTCTGTGTTGTTGCTGCATTTTTTTTTTTTTTTAAACACATCCGTCACCTGCATCCAGGCACTGTCTCAGTGTCACAAGATAGACTTCAACTTACTGCATATGTGCTACTGCAGTATCTTTATTCATCTCACAGACTGATTTAGCATAGCAACATACAGACCGATGTCACACTGTAGACTAATGAACAGACAGATTAAACATAGGAGCAGCTCTCTGAGTGTTGATGGAGAACTTGTGAGTGTGAGAGGAGAGATGCACACTGGTATGCCTTATGTAACATAACTTGAAGCTAAATTGATATAAACGTGTTGCCTAAATCTATACCTTGCTTGAAAATAAATTAATGTATCATACATAGTTGTTATATCGCTCGGCCCTAATTTAAATCTGTTGCTTTAAGTTTAAAGTAGGAGCTGTAAAATGTTCAGCCGTCCCATTAAATAAACAGGGTTATGAATTCACACAAATAGTAATTTTCTGCCAGCATTCCTTTCTTGCCTCATTTGCAGCAGCACTGTTGCTTTTTGCAGAAATATTTTTTTTATATTCTTCAAAGCCTGAAGTCTGCATGTGTAATTGGTCCATTTTGTGCCACAGTAGAGTCAAGACGAACCAAACTTCCCCTTTTATGTGAACCTGAACCTGAACCTGAAGAGGAAAGCCTGAGTTAACAGAGTGAGTTAAAAACCAACATGGTGGTGCCCGTTAAAACCTGCCATTGTTGAACCTGCCTCTTAGGCAGTTTTATTCCCCTGAATCCTGAGCTCTGTGTATGAAGACAATGACAACATATATCTCCCCTCACCACTGAACCTAGATGATGTGTTGGCACATTTAAATATCCACATAGATTCTTGATATATAAGTTGATCAATAAATCCAGAGCTTGTGGAAGGTAAAAACAAAGAATGTTTTCTATGTTTCCGGTGTCCTCTGGATGACCTCTTATAGTGCTTTTATTTATACTGGACTTTACTGAGCTGCTGCATTTGCATCAAAGTAAAATATAGTAACTGTCACAACACACTGATGAACAAAAGCCATTAGACTTTAAAGTGTTTGCACATCAAACACTGCGACTGTTCACATTCTGTTTGTATGTTTGTACATCATCAACTCGTGACAGACGTGCAAAGTAAATACAGTGTAAACTTCTGCCAGTAAACGACAGCCTCCGAGCTGCATCTACACACACTGATCCACCTGAGAGTTTGCTTTGCCTCAGAGGTGTGTGTATTCTGAATGCTTATTTCTGTACATTTAGTTATCAGAGGTAAAGTTTTAAAGCCACATTATGAAGGTAATGTGACAGTTTAAGTTACTTTCAACGAAGAAACTTTGCAAATAAAACCTACTTACTATTTAAATGAATGAGTAAATTAACTGATAACAGACTGTCAGAGTCTTTTCTCCTCTTCACTCTCCTTTAAATTAACTAGAAATACAAACCAGGGTGTCTACAGGTATCAGACACTTGGATTTAATGCTTTTTAGTCATTTTTTTTTAGATATGTTCAACCAAAATTATGACTGATTTTTGGACAAATCGTCTTTTTCCTATTTAAAAATTACAAGTAGTATTTAAAGATTTGTAACATCAGAAATGTGGACTTTAAGGCACAAGAGCTTAAAATATTTTGGGAAAAATAAATTAAAAAGATGGATAAATTAAATTTGAGGTTCAACATTAACTTTTTCTCCCACTTGCCCGGTCGGGAAAGTCGATCAAAAATCTACTTGCCCTGAAGTCAGGTTTCACTTGCCCCTATACAAATTGTTTTATTTATTAGCGGTTATCAAATAACAACAGACTTACGTACATTTTTCACATCTAATCTCTGTTGCGAAGCCTTGCTCTCAAGCTTGCAGCAAACTACACAACACACAGTCAGGAGTTTAGCACACATCCTCTAACGCCATTAAACTTAACTCCTGTTTCCAGGATAAGTGAAATGCTCGCTTGCACCTCAGCTCATAAACTTTGTCTTTACCTATTTTCTTACGAGTGCCTGATCAGCACCAGGCTTGTGCAACTCTCAACTGAGATGAAAAGAAAGCAGGAGGGCTCATTCCTTAGCTATCAGCTTCTGTTTGTACCACCTGCCCAATCAGGTGGCCCAACGTGGCATTTTACTTTACTACAATTCTTATTATTGAACCCTGAAATCAGACAAAATGTTTGTGGCAATTAAAAACATCACAAATACAAATTTAAGGCTATTTAATGACTTTTAAGGCCTGATATTTATATAATTGAAAAGACTTTTTAAAGGACCTGCAGACCCCCTGCAAACAGGTGTGGAGTTAAAACGACTCCTGTCTTGTGTTCTCACCACTGAGAAGGCGATGCATGCCAGAGCAGTGAAGCTCATGTTGATCTTTGTGGCTTCGATGAAGTTCTTGGTCTTGTCGACGTAGAGGCCGAGAGCAGCGGCACCCACGATGCCAAACACGATGAAGAGAGCGCCACAAATGCCGGCAAAGTCCTGCAGCAATGAGATTTTATAGGTTTAGGTTTCTCCTCTTTCCTTTTGTTCCATCAGTTACTTAAAACATATTTATAATGTCAATATTTGTGTCTTTATAAAAGCAAATAGTCAAATTATTTCTTCATCCATTATCGTTCCTCCCAGATTCCCCACTAATATAGCCTACTGACAAACAATTAATTCCTGTGTGGTGCTCTCAGACTGTAAACTATGCATTATCCTCCCGGTGTACTCACATTGGTGTATCCTTGCACACACAGGATTTGCTCCAGCAGCGTGGAGAAGCAGGTGAAGACAGCGATGCCCGAACCGAAGCACACCAGCAGGATGAGGTAGGCTTTGTTCTTTAGTAACTACAGACGAGACAGACACAAGGATTTGTAAGAGAAACCTCACAAGAAAATTAAGTCTCTGCAGCAACAGCATTCAACATGGAACCAAAATAACAGCATGTACAGAGAACATAAAGAGAGCTGAAAATAAACGAATGAAGTGATAAAACAGAATGAAGAAAATAACGTAGACTGTAGGGCTGCACCCTTATAGTTGAAGAAGAGTCTTAATCAACCAAGTTTTCATGGGTTTGTTGGTCAAACGCTAATAAATGTCATGCTAATAAATGTCATGCTAATAAATGTCATGCTAATAAATATGAGGAGAAACCACTTGTTGCTGCGCGATGACAGTAGGACTATGAGAAAACTATCTGACGAAGTTGACAAGAGATGGGAGCTCACTGCAAGTCATGAGACCAGCAAAAAAACTAAAAATCCAAGCTGCTGTGCTGGACCTATGTTTGTCTGTCATGAGCTCGTCATTCTTCGACTAAGAGAAACGAGACGAAGTGTACATGACGGTGTCAGATCTGGCTGAGAGTTTCTCTCTAGCGAAAGATGTTCAGAGAGGATCATGACAACAGTACAGTATTTAGCAACTGTTTTAGACGTTACTACGTTAGTGTTACAAGCTCATAAGATTCTGTGTTGAAACAAATGAATGAATTACTTTATTTCGAACCAAAATTAAAAAAAAATAAAAAAATAATACTAAAAACCAAACAAGACAAAGATAACAGTGTCCGAAAAGGAGTAGGCAGTAATAAAACTTAGGTCTCTACTACTTTCCATACATTTGTTGCTTTATCTCATATATTATTTCAACAAATTCCCAAATTTATTTACAACTAATATACAACTATCCTCACTGAGTGTTACAAAACAATGAAATCAATAGAATAATCCGTCTCTTTGCAGGTTGTCCTGACACACTCAGTATTACGGAAGAGTATTGAATTCACTTGACAAATAAAAAAAGCCCTGTTTTTCAGAGTAATTTATTTATTTTTCTGTTTTTCTGAGTAATTTTTTCTGTTTTTCTGAGTAATTTATTTATTTTTCTGTTTTTCGGAGTAATTTCCCCTCCTGTTTTTCGGGGTATTTTTTTCTGTTTTTTTTTTTGTGGTAATTTTTTTTTTCTGAATGAGGAGACGAGATACTTCAAAATCTCGCGAGAAGCTCCCACCTGGTAACTGCAAGTGACTGGTGCCTACATAAATTCGACAAACTAATGATAACACCATCTATATGACTTAAAGACAAGAGTATCCCCCAGTGTCTCAAACCAAAAACAAAGTAAAACTGGATTAAACTAAACAAGCGGGTCATGTTTGCTTCCATTATATCGAGCTCTCAAGAAAGGAATGAAAGCGTCTGTTGTTCTATTGCTCTCTTAACTCAGAAAAAAATACTCAGAAAAACAGAAAAAAAATACCCCGAAAAACAAAAATAAATACCACCAAAAAGAGAAACAAAATTAAAGCGAAAAACAGACAAAAAATTACCACAAAAAACAGAAAAATAAAAAACTTACTATGAAAAACAGAAAAAAAATACTCAATAAAAAACTGATTTTTTTTTTATTTGTCAAGTGAATGCAATACGCTTCCGTAGTCCTGACACACTCAGAATAACCACCACTTTTGCTCTTAACATGGTTGTAAACAGGTGGCTCGCTTTGTGCGTGCACGTTCAAAATTTGGTTTTGTATTTCTCTGTGATGTCGAAGTGTTACCAATTTTACTTATAACATTCTCTCTCAGCAGCGTAACTTCAACCATTTTCCAGTTCCCCAAAAAAATATATTACAATAATTAAATTTATATCATAAATGTTTTTAGGTTCTTTGTTGTTGTTTTGCACAATTTAAAACACAAAAAAAGCAAAGAAAAATGAATAATGAACTACAGTGCAGAAAGAAGCAAACAACCCAGAGGGCTCATTCAAAGCCTCCACCTAAAAACATTTTCACAAAGTTATTAAGAACTCAAAAGTACAGAAAGACAAAGAACAATACATTAAACTATACAAGTGATAACAAACTACAGATGGCAAAATACGTTTGATTGCAACGACAAAAAAACAGCAATAAAAGCATCAATTTAAGAGCAGAAAATGAGAGTATGTGATGTGTAAGTCGATGTTAGTGTAATTAGTCGTGCGTGCGTGCGTGCAACGACCAGTATCAAAGCACACGAGAAGCCCTTTTACCACCGTCATCAACTCAAGGTAACTCAGCTGCAACTTGCTGGAAAAGTGTGTGCATGCTCAGTCGGTTTTCCCCGGACCAAAAAATATTAAATATGACGGATGCGACAATGATGAAGATTCCTGTGATTCATCAAAGCTAAAGTTGGTCTATAAAAACTGATGAATGTTTCCAGACAGTTTGGGCACCGCTCCCCTTCGCTTTGTTTAATTAAACCCTGATCATCTGACCACTCCCGCCCTGTAGACCCTCTATTTGGCGATGTCGCCAATTAACTTGGTGAGTACAGTGTTATAAAATGTGCCTGACGCAGATTAAAGTGTGACTCTGAGTTGGTGGTTTCATCTGTATGCTTGTCTTTTCAGCCTCCTGTGTCCTCACCAGTTTGATCCCCTGTATGAACGGCTCGGAGCTGGAGGACTCGGCGCTGGCTGACGGCGGCGTGGGGGGTGAGCTGCTCCGTATCCCCACTGTTGCTAGGAAACAGATGAAGCATGCTGGGATCGCATAGGCAAGCAGCTAGAGGAGGGATGAAACACACATAATGCGATGATAAATGGGTGTTAGCACCTGAAATCAAAGGCCATTTATCATCATTAGCAGGTGAGGTGCCACAGAGCCACACAGTTCAGCTATTGCAGTTTTCTGTATTAGCAGCTGCAATCCCACAATGCCCCTGGGGGAGCCCTCTGATTCTAGGCCAACTGGTGTCTTGTTTAAGATAATTTTGACAGTGTTGCCATTACTGGATAGTTCACAGCAGCCAGGGACAGAAAACATTGGAGAGAGGGGGGTTAAACACCACAAAAGGCCTTCAGTAAGTTTTGACTGTTATGTGCCATAAACCACTCACCATCCAGGACGCCTTGTTTAATAATAAGGTCATCTGTATCTAAAAATGTGCTGCATTTGCTCAGCTTTTTGTTTTGCACTCAGAACTTTTTGCATTGATTCTTTGTCAGTATCAGGGCAGGAAAACATGGTGCCAACCTCAGACTTAATACAGCTCCGTCTACATGTGCACAGATTTTTGAAAACTGATATTTTCCTCTACGTCAGGCACACACACAATTTATGTACTAAAATGGAGATTTTTGAAAACAGCTTCTCGGGTGCAGCTTTTTCACAACTGTGGCTACTTTGTATACGTGTGGACATGTAAAGCAGAGTGTTTGGGAAACAATGACGTCATCTCCTCAGTTTAAAAAAACTCATTCTTGCTTTGTTTAATAAGCATGCACAAGAAACAACAGTAATGTAAGACTACCCGTTCATTTACATTTTGTCAGCAATGCCAAGTCTAATGACTACTTGTGTAATTTTCAAACCGGGCACAAATAAAACAATGTGCGCGAGTGAATTACATGTAAAGTCAATGTAAAGACGCAAGTAGATGCAAATTCCTGCTGGGTGGCACAACGGACGCGAAACACATGATTAAGTGGCACGAATTAAGCAAGCTGTGCAATTTTGTGTCATACAATTATTGGCGAAGATTTAAAAGTCTGAACTTTAGCGACCAATTCACACTGCGATAGCCGATCGGCATGAAAGATGATTGATAGTCTATTAAAAGTGTCATGAGATAACATCTGTAGTGACATGGCGCTCTATATAAGGTTGACTTGACCAGTGAAGTCGCCCCCTGCTGGCCATTAGAAAGAATGCAGGCACTTCCACACGTCTTAACTATTCAGACCTGAAAGCTGAGTACAGTTCTTTTATTCAGTCTGTGGTTTACCAGCACTTGTTTGCTGAAAACAAAAAGCAAAGTCCTGCCATGAATGACACTACACCATGCTGTAAATGTCATGGCATCACAACACCGAGCCTGAAACCTGACCAGACTCCTCATCAGTGGATTTGAAGTCTGTTAGTTCAGCTCACCAGGTTGGGGATTTGTGCAGATGTTTTAACCACCATGGGAGAGATGATGTTAGCCAGCAGGATGCCCAGGGGGTTGGCTGAGGAGGGAAAAGAGAAGCATGACTGAGGGTTATTCTGGTTTTTGTCATGTGTTAAGAATCAATGCAGACGTATTGCACTTTCTGTTCCCTGTTCCAGTCGTCCCAGTTTTTATCTTCACACACTGGCTTTGACTTCGAATAAAAAACTGTATCTTCAAGAAACAACTAATACTACTTTTATCTATCAATATAAAAAACACAGTTAAAATAAACTGTTTCACAGTGGTTATTTATCCCAGGACACATCCTTCATTTTTCTGCTGACATGCAGAAATGCAGGTGCTTCCCCGCACATTACAGCACGTGCTGAAAATGAATCACTTCCTACTTAGTTACACAGAGCACAAACCAAAGCCAACATGGTGGCTCCATTACAATACATAACACAAGCTAATGTTATTAGCACAAGCCTCCACCCTGTTTCTCTCTTTTTATATTACGTAGATTGCCATGCTATGTTTGCATTGGTAACTCCTGACAAACAGTAAGTCACTCACACATAGAGGCGATCATGTTAGCTGTGGCGCGCTGGTGGTCAGGGAACCAGAGAGCTGCCAGCTTGGTGGGGGTGAAGATGATGAAGGGCTGAGCGAAGGCACCAAGGGTCTGACCCATCATCGCAAAATGGTACTTGATTTCATAGCCCCCCCCCGCTGGTGTCCCGAAGAAGCGCAGCAGGGCTCCGAACATGTTCAGCCAGGCTCCTAAAATCAGCTGCAGAGTGAGGAGGGCACAAGGTCATCATGTTGAAACAGAGTCAAGAAGTCATCTACACTCTATCCCTCCATTTTTGGTACTAAGAGCTCACTCTAATGTTTCTGCACCGTGCCTCTCAGAGACTGACCGTCAATCAAAAGCGTTCTTTCTCCTTAGACTTTCTTTTGATGAGGTTTAAGTTTCTTGAGACGGTGCTCTTGTCTTGGATGAGGATCAGTAATGTTTGACTCTATTTACAGCATTTCCTTCATAAAACCTCTCGTTCAGCTTTTATTTCTAGTTTTGTTTCTATTTCAGTCTGTTTTCTCTCTGCAACCTTCTGAGGCCTTTCAGCAGACACTGATAACCATTAAATATCTTTTGCTCCTGGACCTGGAGTGTTTCTTTCCTCCACACTTCTGAAATCATTCATCACTTGGTTGCAGCTTTGTGTTGTCGTCATAAACAAACCCCAGCCCAGACCCTGATGTTTGAATTGGAGATCTCAAAGTAAAAAACAAAACAGTAAGGAACTGTTTCCTGTAACACGCAGGTCCATTATCAACCACAACAGATGTATCCTACAATACAAATAACACAGGAACCCCAGGTGATGTGCGTACCGTGGAGCGTAGCCCGACGGAGTCCAGCATCCACGTGGTCCCAAGGCTGAAGGGTATGGCCACCACCATGTAGACCAGTGACAACCAGTTGATTTTCTCCAGACTGACCTTCAGAAACTGGGCAGACTGGTCTGCTACTGGTGCAAAGGTCAGCCATATCTAGGAAGACACATGGAGATATATTAGAAAATAAGGTCTGTGTCTCTTAAAAACAAGTGTTAGGCTATTGTTACAATACGATTGCTGAAACTAATTTGTGAAAATATGAAACACTGCTGTGTTAACCCTCAGTCCTGTGTGAAAATATTCAAGATTGTAACTGTAACTTGATGACTGGATCAGTTCAGCATATGCACAGTATGATTTAAGCCCGTTTTAGAAATGTTGCTAATTTCTGCCATAAGCAAATTTTCCCAAGCAAACACATTTGTTTTGTGCATGTAAACACCACCAACATAAATCTTACAAACGGGGTCAAAAACACTGAAATGGGACCAGTGCCTATACATTAACTCAGTATTTAAAAAGGTCAAAGCATTCTTATACACTATTCTGCTTGTAAATCAGCAACAAAAGATTATTTAAGGTAGGATGAAGGCTGCAGGGCTGATACACAGGATGACTGAATTATTCTGACCTGTAAACTGAACACTGAGACCACAAAGGCAGCACCAGTCCAGTTCTCTGCTCTGTGGACAATGAAGAAAACCTAATGTATGCGGCCCAGTTAACATAAGCTGGTCAGCTGATCTGGGCGCACAATGCCAGTCCTGTCTCCTGCAGGGTGACACGCTTGGAATTTTACATTTTCACACATTCCTCCTTTTCTTATTCTTCAGACCTGTTTATTGTTTGCAGAGGGAAGGGCTGACCGTCAAGAAGATCAGGTTTTCGGATTATTTAGTGATGCTTCCCACACCTCTGGTCTGCTTTAACAAAAGTTGAATGCATCTTGGCTCACAGCTTCACCATAGAGTTTCATTAGGAAACCATCATGTATCTAGTTTAATAATACAAACCATTTATCATCCAAGGAGATACACTCTAGTTGCTTCAATTCAAATAGACAAAACATATCTAATATGTATTTTGCCATGACATTTCCAGGGGGTTTGGGTTATCACTGACTTTGTTTAATGAGCTATATGGTTATTTTTTAGAGTTAATGATACTGTTCCAGAGGAGAAAAGTAATTACAATGGAAGGTGGGGCTGGATATTGTCAATACATGTGTAAACACAATACTCAGGTTTCAGTACTGAACACACTAAAACACTTTGTCTTCTGATTTTTCAATACCTCACATCAAGGACGATATAATATTTCACGACAGTTTTTTCCCTATTCATCCAGGCATGTCCACAGTCCAGAAAAAAGTTCAAAATAAAGTCCAAAATAAAAATGAAGCCAAACCTCTCAAACACATCAGTGTCTCGACAGAAAGCAATCATACAATAACTTTAGCTGAATAAAATACTGTCTAAAACTATTTACTACTCTGTACTTAAAGGCCCTGTCACACCAAGCCAACAGTCAGCCGTCAATTAATGTTGGGCCGTCAGTAAGCGCCTGTTGCCCTAGTTGGTGTGGTGTGTCTGGCGCTGTTGCCCCTCGTCAGCTCCCGTTGACTTTTTTTTTTGGCTGATTAAGCATTTTGAATTCGCATCTGTGAAATCGGAGCCTGATGGTGAATAAATTCACTCTGATTGGCGGTTCAGCTCAGTGTACGAGAAAAAAAAAAAAATGAGTGAGGAAAGTAAACAAAAAGCTAAAGTCAAGAGGGAGTGAGACCCAAACATCTGGGGGATCCCCGGCCGGATGAGATATACAGTATAATCCCTCCAGCATGTTCTGGGTCTGCCCCAGGGCCTCCTACTAGTGGGATGCGCCCGGAACACCTCTAACAGGAGGCGCCCAGGAGGATTCTGATCAGATACCCAAACTGACCCCTTCGACGCGAAGGAGCAGCGGCTTTACTCCGAGCTCCCTCCAGATGTCTGAGCTCCTCACCGTATCTGAGCCCAGGCTGAGCCCAGACACCCCACAGAGGGTCATAGATGGACCAGTAAATCGAAAGCTTTGCCTTCTGGCTCACATCCCTCTCTGCCACGGCGGTCCAATACAGCGCCCATATCACTTAGGGCTGGGCGATTTTATTTTCCTCGCGGATTAATCAGCATCTGTGACAGCAGAGCCTGACAGTGAATAAAATCCCTCCGATTGTCAGTTCAGCTCAGTGCATGAGAAGAGAAACGGAATTGAGGAAAGTAAACAAACAGCTCAAGTAAAGACAAAACAAACTTGTTACATAAGGTCAGATTATTTTTCCTTAGCCACTGAGCTCTTCAGGAGAAACTTTTCATGATGGTTTGTGTTATTGTTCACTGGTGCACAGTAAACATGCTCTGTTCTTTCAACATTGGATTGTGTTGTTGATGCGCTAACTGGCTAACTAGCGTCAAGACGGTCTTTTGGTTTCCCTTTTTCAATAATAATTACAGATGACCACTGTCACCTGGCTTGGAGCGTTATTTTCTCTCACACAGACACATAATGCATGTGCTGGTTGCCATTGGCTGTAGTCTTTGCGGTGTGTTGATGTGCCCCATTTTTTTCACTGAGACACGGTGACAAGAGACGACACAGCCACGGGCCTTCATCACTGCTACTTCTCTAAAATCGGTTTAGTGTGTCTAGGCCACAATTTGGTTGGTGCCTAAAATGTATTGGTGTTCGATACCAAATTCTGATGGGAAGTAGATTAAATGCAATTTCTTCACCTCAAGAGTGTTATTTTAATTTCTCTTAAATAAAAAAAATCTGGTGTTTCATGTTCTGCATACAGTTTTTTTTAAGTCGTTCTTTTGTTTAACATTAGCATATAATGTAAGTATGATATGGCTCTTGAAATTCATCCTGAATCAATCTGTAATCCAACAATCAATGACTCACCACAGGTCTTTGTAAATCCCACTCTGAACCCTCAGCAGGGCTGCTAATGTCAGACTGATTGATGTCTAACTGGCTCATCAGCTGTTATTTGCCACATCATGAATGACTCTCAGCCAGCTGAGCATCTTTTGTGAGTGGGAACACCAGCCCCAAGGAAACAATAGCTTCCATAGAGAGGACGAGTCCCGCGGGAGCTGGAAATAGGTGAGGGAGGGCTCAGTTTGCATGACTTAGACGGGCACACTTGCCTCCAGGCACACTCTGCTTTTCAATGACAACGTCCCCGGGGAATTATATCAAGTTCCACCAGACAGAAGGAGGCACCAAATGTCATCTACCGGCACTGACAGCCACATCTGCTGTTTAACTCCTGAAACAGCTTTAAAAATTTCACATATCTCAAAGAAGGACAACAAGCTGTCAATTAAAAGGAAGTAATTAAAGTCACAGCTACTGTTTTCTTATGTGTAAAATGTGGTAACACAGGTTTGTGTAGAAAGAACAAAAGAGATCTTAAAGTAAAGACGTCCCATAGATTTAAATTCAGAATGATATGTTGTGTTTCTGTATGAATCGTATGTTGGGCTGGGGCTTAATGTCAGGTATGACTCAATTTTGTGATTATTAATGAGCCACTTACTCAAGTACTGTGATTCAGTACAATTTTTACAATTTGTACAAGTTTTTTTTAAACAAAACAAAACCAAAAAAACATTTGCTGGTTTCATGCCTCTACACTTTGAGAATTTGATGCTTCTCTTTGTCGTACATGACAAACTACAAAGCTCCAGATTTTTGGACTGTTGTTGGGATAAAACATGCCATTTAAAGATGCCACCTTGGGCTGTGGGAGATTATACAGGGCCTGTTTCACTATTTCACTAATCTTTATTTATTTTATTGAAAAAAAAAAAAAAAAAAATTAAAAGTACTTAAAAATAATTAATTCGCAGCCCTATTTTCTCCCCACTATTTTCTTCCCATTTGTTTGTTTTTTCGTTGTTGCCTTGGCAGAAATGGGCTTCAGTACAATAAAATTAAGTTAGCGTTGTCTTATGTTTTGGGTTATTTTCTACCATAAAACATTTTGGGGGCAAGCAAACATTACTGCACACTGACCAAAGACATCAACTTTTGTATCGGCCATAAAATCCCAGTTACTCGAACTTTCTGGAGAACATTATCTGCCTTTAACTAAACTTTGTTATTAGCTATCAGATTACCAACAACAGAGAACTCACCGTCACATTGGAGCAGTTTGTAACAGCGTATTTTTACACTGTGGTGCCAATTGTACGCTACAACAGTTGGTTGATTAAATCGATTGGTTGAATGTCAGAAAATTGACAACTCCAAATAATCTAAAGTCTTTTCATTTTATAGTCTTTTATTTATTTCTTTAAGCCAAAAAAAAAAACAAACAAAAAAAACAAAACATTTGCTAGTTTCATGCTTCTCAAATGTAAAAACTCGATGCTTCTTTGTCATACATGAAAATAAACCAAAAAGCTTTGGATTTTTTGGTAAACTATACCATTTAAAGATGTCACCCTGGGCTGAGGGAAATTATACAGGGCCTGTGTTTCGGATTTACTCGCGACCATGTTAACTGGCAATTTTCAGCCGAATGCATCTGTGGTTGTCGTAGTGACAACAGCTGTTTTCAACCAGAAGAGAACACGTAGCTGTCCTCCACAATGCCTCTTTGTTCAGTGTTTCATTACAGTGTCAAACCAGAACATACCTGAGTCGTCTGTTGAGTTTTGTTTGAGGAAACGCGTGACGTACGATTACCCACGCGTGTTTTGTACCTCATCTGAATTTTGTCAGTAATAAAACTTCGCAATAAATTTTTAGTCTTTGAAGTCTGTTTGAATCTACATGTGTTACATACAACATTCAGCCTTTTCTAGCTCAACACATGAATGTTTTGTTGGAGATTCGAACTCACTCCATGGTGGGAAAAGATGCAAGAAACCAACGCGTTATCCACTACACTAAGATCACCTCACGACTCTTGTGATAGCTGTTACGGCTGTGTATGTGTTCTTTGCTGCTGTCCCTTTTCCCTCCCTTGTAGATCTGCCCAGGTGTGCTGCATTACTTAACGAGGTGCAGCGCACCTGGCATGGAGGAGGTGCTTAGGAGCTCCTGTGCCAGCAGCAGAGGAGAGAGATTCTGGTGTGGGGACTGCTGGTCCTGCTGCA